ATCTCGCCAATCCAGTGAATACATTAAAATGATTTGGAACTTGATAGGTACTCTCGTTTTTCAGGAGAAGGTAAAATGGCTCTTGTGCCATGACAGACAGAAATTTAGATGAGACTTGTTTCGGTTTCTTTAATGTATAAAACGTAAAAAAACTATAAGTTTATGATTCTGAGCAATGTACAGACAAAACTCTAATTTTATTTATACAGATTTGATGTTATTATTACATAATTTGACAGTCACCTGGTTTTTAGCTATGCTACATATGTACAAAACGTTATGTGACAATAAAGAAATATTGATTTATTTATAGACTAAATATAATTATCAAATATTTGTAGAAAAGTGTTGTGCATATTTCTCTACAGTTAATATCCATTTGTTGAAATTCATTATAATTTAAATACATTATTATAACATATTTCAGTATTTTTAATTTGAGTTTAATATTGCCTTAGCGAAGTAATACCTGTTGCATATAGCTTTTTTTAGTCAAACAACACAGACCAAATTTTTTAACACCTATATTACAGCTGTTTGTAAATAATAACAAAACATTATAGAAACAATTTTGGGAGCTAACTTAACTGGCAAACGACTATTAATTGACTAGTCGCTAAAACTAGTTCCTCCACTGGCAAACGACTAGTCACTATTTTAGATACAACAAATATGATTGTTCTTATTTGTTTCTTTTGCTTTCTCCCATTTGCTCAAAGGCTGGATTGAGCGCGGCTCAAATTTGTCTCCAGCTGCCCATTGTTCTTTTCCTTGTAAATTTCCAGAGATCTATCCCAAATTTCTGGTTTTCATGAACTAAACTTATTAATAAATCCATATCTTCATCAACCATGATGGAATAGAAAACTAAATTGACTTATAAAAAAAACTAAACAAACCACTTGGACACTGCGCTAAAATAAAATAAATACAACCACCACCCTTGAGGAGTGGGGGCAGGGGCAGGTCCGGCTGTTTCTCTGGTATGTGTGTTCATCTCCATAAAGTACGGTGCCCCGCTACCCGCTTGGCCGGCAGAACAGCCGATCCGGCGAAGTAGAGAATATCCGCCGGACTGGAGCAGTGTGGCCTTCCCCATGCCTTCATGTGTACCTCAACTTTTCCGGCTCCGCCGTATCCGGCAGTTTTGCCTGTGTGTCCCTGGCCTAAAAAGAGTCCAATTGTAACTTATTTAGTATCAAAATAAAAATTGTTCCTACAGTTACCTAACAATGTACATGTTCTATCACTGATTTGAGAAAGCAAAGTGGCCAATTCGCTCATCAGTGAGACAATGTTAACATTGTCTCACTCTAATTACTTTGTCTCACTCCAGATTTGCAACGTGAAGGCACGAAATAGTGAGCGCGTAACATGCAGGCAACGTCGTATGCGCGCGAAACACGTTGGCAGCACTGGCTGTAAATCAGCTGGTCAGCTGTTGTACTGTTGTATTTGTCACTTCACGTTAAATGTTATTATTAAAAGTTCACTTCTGTGTAAAAATAGGTTATGTTTCTTCACCAATTTATTTGTTTTATGGTAACTGTAGGAAAAGCATAATGTGCAACTCGAGTTCAAAGTACATTGCCTCACTCGAGAAACCATTCCTCACTCGCCTACGGCTCGTGAGTAAGGATTTCTCTTGAGTGAGTCAATTGCTCACTTTTCTCACTAGTTGCACAAATAACTATTTAGCAGAATTTTTGTTTTAGTAAATTTGTTTGAAGCAAGTGGCAGTCAAAGACTCTTGTAATGGCTCATTATTCTGTGTTTCAGGTGGAGATCATAGGAGGAGTTGAGAGGTACATGGCTGTCTGCAGAGAGTGTCACAAACTGGAAGCCCCAGTCAAGAGATCTCCCTTCAAACAAATCAATGGAGTTGATGAAAGCATTAAGCCCAGCGGAATCGCAAAGAATCTCTTCAATGAAATGGAAACCTCCTGATGCCATCACAGGGTTAAGAGAACCGAAAATTGTAAGATATTCACAGGGTCAGTTGAAATATTAGGTGAAGCGCTTTCTTCATAGTTCTATTTTGTGGGGGTGAAAAAAAATTCCTGCAAAACAATCAATGAATGAATAGTTTAGTTTTTCTTTGAATGTTTCCTTGGCATTTTCCTTGCCTTTTATAACAAGGAATGAACTTTTTTGCCAAACAATATTCAATTTCAAATTCGACTGACCAAATTGAAAAATTCACCTTTTAAATATCTTTTTGACAGTAATCCTAATGATTTATTTAATGTTATAAAATGTACTGTACTAATATTTGATGGTATTGTGTGTGTAAGGCTGCGGCTCGACTGGCCGTAGTTAATCTCGCACCAATTGACGCACGCTACACACGACTGTTGGGTTGCTTCATAAGCAGTAGATTATGAACCACAATCTGCAGTGTTGTCGCATCCGCGATGGCTCCACTAGCAGTTTAGTGTGGTGGTATATGTGATCACTAGATCTATCATAACGTAAATTATTATTCATAGTGTTAAGTGTTGTACTCAGTGTACTTTTAGTTTATGGATGACGATGGTCCCATAAGAGAAAATGATGGATCCACCCAATAAGTTTTTTACATTATAGAATGCCTTAAAACTTGTTGTAATTTTCTTTACCTTTCTTGTATAAAATGGGGTATTTCTCTACTTCTCAATCAATTTGAAGCCCCATCTTTCACAAAACTCAACTTAAGACACTAAACAAGTTATAAATAGCGTCAATGTGATTTGCGCTTATACCTGTCAAATGTTTAAAGTGGTTTAGATACCTGCATTTAAGTGTTATACAGTAATTCGGAAACTAACATCCACCAATATGAAACTGTCAAATGTGATTTGATGCGATTAAGCTAGTGGAGCCACCGTGGCAAAATGCAGCACAAATATAGGACAGATTCCATTTCCGTGTGCCGCAATATGAATCACCTTCGTTTGATTGCTACTTTCCCATTACTTTGACCTACCAACCATAACTTTGTTCTGCAACAAACTACGGCCAGTGGAGCCGCAACCAAAAAGAGGCCGCCAACCTCTTTAAAAAAAAAAAACCTAAGGACAATGCTTATTGACTACTTTGTATATGACTTATTTATATGTTCATTAATGTAACGTTTGACAAAGGCATATAACCTGCTTGACCAAAACCACAGGGTAATATAGTTTTATTTTTATTCTTTAAATTTGTAATATTACACATTATTTAGTCAAATAAATACTTATGATAGCAGTAAGATATTTCTTACTTTTAAATGTAAATCCTAATGCACTTTGCACTTTTCTATTCAGTTTTTATATTTTAGAACCCACTTGTATTTTATGTTTGTAATCCCTGAATCCCTCATTTTGTATCTTATTATTTGTACATGAAAACATGTTGACTCTTTAATTAAGGTTAGGAACTGTTTAAATTTAAAGTATAAGTGAGTGTAAGCATCACAACAAAAGAATGTATTTCTGAATTGGGTGTGTTTAAAGTTTGTGCCTGAAATTCCAAAGTAGAGAGTAAAGAGATTAGCCTTTCAGCCTGGTTAACCTTCAACCCTTCGGGCTTGGATGATTGACGCTCTACTGAAGTTTCTGCGTTGTTCTTTTGGTTCCTAGTATCCAAATTTATAAAAAATTTAGGAATGGCTAAACTTGAGTGTGTTAAAATTAAATGTAGTAATGCTTTATGTGATAAATGTAAATATTTTAAATTAACAAATAAAAGATTTAAATATGAAGTTTGCTTTTAAACCTTTCCCTTTTACCGAATTTCCCTATAGGGAAGTAGCTATTACCGTAGGTGGCACGGTAAGACCTAGGCCCCAGACCGATTTGCTTTTTCATTTTGATGTCCCCAGAGGCCAAAAACACTATTCGTTCTAATTTTTATATATGTATGTATATATATATATAGAGATTTATTCATATATATATATATATTAATAAGCGAAATAATAAAAACCAGAGTACCCTGAAATTAATTTTTATTTCAAGTTTAGTAAACTGATACGTATTTCGGCACTAAGGCCATGATCACAGTATGAGTTATATAACTCATACTGTGATCATGGCCTTAGATAACTCATACTGTGATCATGGCCTTAGTGCCGAAATACGTATCAGTTTAAATAAAAATGAATTTCAGGGTACTCTGGTTTTTATTATTTCGCTTATTAATTGAAAAAGTAGCCCCAAAAAGTGAACAGAACTAAATATATATATATATTTTTAGTTCAGTTTAGTAGAACAGAACTAAATATATATATATATATATATTTAGTTCTGTATATATATATATATATATATACGTCCGTGACTTGAGTCATTTTTGTCCGATTTTGATGAAATTTAGATTGAAGGTGTAAGGCGGGATAAACTTGAATGAGTTCACGAACCAGCATGATCGGACCATGGGAACAGTGTTTTACGGGGGCTTTTATGGGGTAAAAAAAGGTTTTTCTCATTTTTGACCCTCAAAACAAATAATTTCTCAATTTCTCTCTAGACCTTGTTAAAGAGCTTAAAAAACAAATAATTTAGAATATCAAACTGTTTTTGTACGGTTATTGGTAACGGAGAAAATTTCAAAAGTTGTAAATTTAAAATTCCCATGTTATTTTTATGGAGAATATTGTAAAATGATGTAGTTTGATTGTTTGTTATTGGTATATTTGGATTAAACTTGACCAATTTATTTATTTTATACTAAGCTATTAATATTTTACTAAAACACTCGCTTAATTAGTTTCCTTGTAGCAGCAAACCTAGGTACTCGTGCCTAAGTACATATATATAAGTGTATATTAGTGTTAAGTGTTATATATATATAAGTGTATATTTTTCCTAATGTTATTTAAATAGATTTGATTGAAAATCAGTTCAGACAAATGGAAATTCGCTTAGTCGGCAGGTATGCTGCGGCGGGGGTATTTTAATTTTTTCCAATCATAAATTAGAAAGCACTTTGAAAACAAGATATAAATTGTTTTGTTGAATTTATGGAAAACACAAGTGTATGATAAAAACATACAGTGAAAACTGGTATTGTATATTTTAATAATATTAAATATGTTAACAATATAAATTATAATAACTTAATAAGTTTGATTGAGTACAACATGTTTGATGCGAGGGCTGTCCCCTGACTCGGAAATAATCCCTACGTTGGTCTGATATTTTCTGAAAGGCTCTCTGTATCGCCACAAATCTGTCAACATACATAAACATTTTAGCTACAACGCATTTGTAATGGGTGACAAATAAGTTACCTAGTTAGTTTAAATTAATTAGTATTAAGTACGCATCTCAGTGTCTTGCATACGGTGGGAGATTTAATAATTATCTAAACACACAGCGAAGCCTAAATATCAGCTACAGTGCTGCAAACGGCACTGTTCTGTTCACAAATGACGCCAGTATGCGGCGATATGCCTTATAACAGCGTACTCACGAATTAAGAAGCTATATGCAAAAACAACCCTCACTTACAGTAAAAACGACCCTGGTAAATTTATAGAGGGGATAGATAATGCTAATAGTTGTTACTGATTTTGGCAACGTAGTTTGGGTCGCGGTAGTCAGTCAGTAATGCAGTGTGCCTCTGAGCCCCTTTAAACCACACTCAAATCTCTTTATTCTTGACGGTTACAAACTGCATTGTAGTGTCAATAAAGCAAACAAAAATTCTTCATAAAGCTAATTAAAACAAAGTTACAAAGTTGTTCTCAACAGACAAAATCTAAAACTAAAGTTATTTGTGCAACTAGTGAGCAATTGCCTCACTCGAGAGAAATCCTTACTCACGAGCCGTAGGCAAGTGAGGAATGGTTTCACGAGTGAGGCGATTGCACTTTGCACTTGAGTTGCACATTATACCATTTTTCCTACAGTTACCATAAAACAAATAAATTGGTAAAGAAACGTGCCTTCACGTTGCAAATCTGGAGTGAGACAAAGTAATTAGAGTGAGACAATGTTAACATTGTCTCACTGATGAGCGAATTGGCCACTGTGCTTTCTCAAATCAGTGAGAGAACATTTACATTGTTAGGTAACTGTAGGAAAAAGATCATTGTTTCGTATAAATCACTAACTTACAGGAGTCTTAAAAAGTTTTCGACACTGTAGCAGCAGCGTTACAAAAGTATAGTCCTAACTCCTTTACCAAATTTGTCCGCATTGGTATCCATCCAATTTAGCAGGCAGTGCATTAAACAGTTTAATGCCATTGTAAAATAAATATTAAAAAAAAAAAAACAGTTTTGTGTTTTGGAATTTCTACATTGAACCGGCTACTCGAACCATTTATGAGATAGTGTGAGACAGATTTTGTAAAAGGTCAAAATTATTCTTAACAAATGCGAGTCAGTTCAAGATATAAATGGACGGAAAAGTAAGAATTTTATTGTTAGCAAAAATTGTTTTACAGGAAAATTTACTATGCTTCTTAAAAACTGTCAAATAGTTTAATATTAAAAATGCATTATAAAAAAAACGAAACTACGACCAAACAAACAAATTTCATCAACAAAAACCACATTTTATAACCTACAACAAACGAAATATTAAGAAACAACTAAACTGCCCGAGGTGGTGAAGTTCGGGTAACTTTGGGTTTTATTATATTAAGGAGACTACATTCTTGTATTTTTTGATAATATTAGCCTGTAAAATAAAGATATCTCTCATATGTTAATCACCTAATTTGCATACACGAATTATGTTTGCAATAGTCTTGTGTTATATTATATACTAGAGAACCCGTGCGGCTCGATGAGCCGCATAGTATGAAACGCCGAGGAAAACGTTATCCTTAAATTCGAGTTGAGTTGTTTAAACACTTGTTAGAGAGTAATTTTAAATATCTCTATTTGCGTCGTCAAGGTTCACCTACTTTATTTCTGCTCTCAGTTTTAACTGACAACTTCTAATAAATGGTAAATGATCTGCTTCAATTCGAGTTAACATGTTGCAACACAGTTTTTCCAGCATTGAGTATTGAAGAAAACTGTTGCCGGCTGCACTTTACTTTACGTCCTACACTCATTCGAATGAAAATATCGATTGTTCGATTGTTTCATTCGATATATCGTTTGGTTAGTTAGGTTAGGTTAACCTTACCTAATTAACCAAACGATATAACTTATCGAACAATCAATATATCGATCGATATTTTCTTTCGAATGAGTGTAGGACGTAAAGTAAAGTGCAGCCCTGTTGGCTCACTGATTACCTGTGTTAAGTAATTTAAGTTGGGTAATTTTATGCCTTTGATTTGAGACATCCCCCTAATAAAACGAATTTTCTCCGTAGAGAATCCTGAAAAGTGGGGTGATATCAACCATTTCATGTGCTCAATTTTTACCCAAAAACTCTGGGTTACCAACTGGACAGCCATAATCCGCTTTTAATAGGCTAAAGCAGCAAGCAGCAACACCTTTGAAAGTTGGTTAACGTATTTTAACGTATAAGTTACTGTGACTGACAGACAACAGTGTTGTCTGTCAGTCACAGTAACTTATATGCCCCACATCAGAACGTTCTCACGTTGTTCAGTAGAGTTTCCTCCTATCCCAAAGTTTTGGAAGTATGGATTCATTTGTCGAAATAGGTTGGATAACTCTTGTAGCTATAAGATTTGGACACAAATTTCATTTGATCTTTTTGAACAGCGTATATTATTTGCCTCTCCTGAATAATAAAAATAAACTTTGACCGTAACTATACTCGATCGTTGAATAAGTTACATAAACACTAATTCCTTCACTTATGTTTTGTCTAATATTGAAACTTAAAACTTTTAATAGCAAATGAGTTTTTGGAACTTCTTATTTTTTACTTGAAATGTCTGGAATGTGTTGGTGAATTCAGTCAAACCAGGCCTTTACTACTCTCCTCATACGCATAAGATATCATATTACTAATTGTCTCATCCTCAATATTACAAACATTAATATTTACTCCCAAAAAGCTAATAAGTTACTTTTTATAAACAGCTGTTTTTTGTTTTTAAAATTGTTCTATGCATTTCTTATGGAGAAAACCCGACCTTTGAGAGAGCCCTACGCCCTTAGGAGTAGGAATTTAAAAATTATAAAACCTTATTGCAAAACTACATATTGAGACGAATCTTTTGACACCTTAAACGTTGAAATTGGTCCACTAATAAGGGAGGAGTTGCGTTAACAAAAAACGGCTTCACGTATTATATATATAGATGTTGTATTATACGGGGTGTCCCGGAACTCTCTACCAATATTTTAGGGCATTGATCCTGGGTAAGAAACGTACCTAAATATCATATTTAAATTGTCCGGAAGTCCTTAGTTACTCACACAGCTGCCATTTTGTTTTTTTCAGTTATTAATTTTTTTCTAAAGAATGGGTAAACATACGAAATGGAAACTTTGCACAAACATTTATGACAACTAGACAAAGCTACAAAAGAAGATTTTTATAATCCATAAAACAATTTGGCGGCCATTTAAAATTTTCTTTCTTAAATAACTCAAAAACCATTGATTTTACAAAAATTTTAAATGGCCGCCATTTTGTTTTATGAATTTGAAAAATCTTGATAATTTTTTGGTAGCTTTGTCTAGTTGTCATAAATGTTTGTGCAAAGTTTCCATTTCGTATGTTTAACCATTCTTTAGAAAAAAATTAATAACTGAAAAAAACAAAATGGCGGCTGTGTGAGTAACTAAGGACTTCCGGACAGTTTAAATATGATATTTAGTTATGTTTCTTACCCAGGAACAATGTCCTAAAATATTGGTAGAGAGTTCCGGGACACCCTGTATAATTGGACGGGGACTCTTAGAGTAATTTACCATTGAGTTAATAATAGCATTAACAACAATCAATAAAGTGATTAACTTAAAAGTATTACTAAATATTTAAATGTTAAACTGTAGAACGAAAATACAACATAAATATTCTCTGTCACACACTTACTGCCTTTGATTCTTTCAACAGTCTTGTAGCTCTTTGAATTTAGTTTTTTGAGATCATATGCTATCTCAAAAGAGGACAATTCGGCCTAATGTGACCTAGAACAAAACGAAAATACATTTAAACTCTTAAGGAGTTTTTCAAAAAGGAATATAGTTCGGCCAGCTTACCTGAGAAAAACTAGAGTCCATTGTCTAATAGATACACAATAAAAGAAAAACAACCATAACACTGTTATTTTGTCCTTAAGTAGGACTTCTCTGAAAGTAGCTAGATAATTTTCTGACTGTTTGTGTTAGTTTAGCAGGGGTGTGAAGGAGTTGCACACAATTGCTTAATGATGATCAGTAACGTCACATAAAGAGTTGGCAAACTTGTTTTTACTTTGTTGCATCGCCACTTATTTGTGGGAGTGAATTATAATACAAATTTTGGACCTTAATTCATTATCACTTGTGGAATGTGGTAAAGTAAGCAGTGTTTCCACACGACCAAAAAAATAATCCCGCTTACAGGGTCGAAAAATCCCGTTTATCCCGCTTTTAAATCAACGAAAAATCCCGTTTTATCCCGCATAATTTTTTTGGTACAATTCCTAGTATCAAACTTTACGTATCATTTTTATAAGTTGTTTAAACATCACTATTATATTTTGCTACAGTATTTAAACAATTTGAGTAAGTTTTTCTCTAAAATTGAGTAGAAAAAAAATAAAAATAGTCGTCACAGCTGAAAATCCCGTTTTATCCCGCATCCCGTTTTAATCCCGCTCAAGGTCTAAAAATCCCGTTCGCGGGATAATAATCCCGCGAATGGAAACACTGAAAGTAAGGTTAGGTTTTTCTAACTATATACTAAAATCTATAACCTAACCTAACCAAAGATGAATTTACTACCACTTCTACTGCTAATAATAATTGCTCTAAAAACTAGTGGTAGAGAATTAACGGAAAAGGTCCCACATTTTAATACTTAACACTTTGTGCTTTAAACTGCTATTTGTTTTGCTTGTTCAGATGTATGGAGTCAAGTAAGTTTATTTGTTTCATGTTTCTATAAGCAATATATGGCTTTGTTAGAAAAAAGCCAGATTACACCTAAAAACCAGTGCAAATACAACAAAATTACAAATTTGCACATGGACTATAATGATAATGTTAACTGAAGTTGGTTAATCAACTGGACGACTGAATTTTAACCCTCCGAGCGTCACTCGTCGATTTTTCGACGCGCCAACATCGTTTACGGCGAAGGCTCTATGACTGACTGAATCGGATTGAACTGGATCGAGTTAGGTATCGTTCTTTTCGTTATATTCTAAGCTTTCTCCAGAGGTCTGTCTCAGCACTGTATGTTCTCCGAGCCGATCGTAATTGTAGCAGACAGCTGACGTGCGTATTTGTAAATAGCTAGGTTACCCTCGGACCGATGACTGATGTGTTTTATTACGTTTATCATTGTTTTAGTGTTAAAAATCAAAAGTTGTGATATACGTGGTGCATTATAAGAAGATTTAAGTGATTTTGAAGGGCTGGTTGATGATCCTGAAGAAGTAGGTAGTGATATTGATGTAAATTATCAGCCAGATTCCTAGCTATGGTTAGGCTATGCATTCTTAGCTAAACGCTATGTACTGAAATCTGTTTTTTGCCCATAACTTATTTATTTGCAAATCTACTTCCTTATATTATTATATATTTGTAATCCTCATAAAATTTAGAACAAAGTAGCTATTTTCAAATATGTATAGGCCTATAATTTATACAATTTCATTGAGCGCAAACTTATTTTTTTTTTTATTATTTTCCAAATATTTTTTTTTTTACCTGAAAAAATTTTTTGAAACAAATGTTCCTTATGTTTTATGTATAATATTGAAGCCCATGATTTTCCAAACAAAATGGTATATAGAACAGTAGAATTAACTTTGTTTTAAGCTTCTCAGATCGGTTTTAATAAAACCTTGCAAATGCGCCAAAAATAGGCGGACATTAAGGCCTAAACTATGGACACTCGGAGGGTTAATATTGCAATTAAATTTAAGTTTGTTTATGTACTAACTTGTACAAAATACTATAATTTATTTTTGTAAAAAAATACAACCGACTTCAAACGCTCTAAAAAGAATGAAATAATTTCAATAAAGTAAACTTTTGTATTAGGCAAGCTCACGTATTTTAAGTCGGCGCAGCTCTATGATGATTTTTGATACAAAATTGAAAGAGGGTGTCCATATTGCAGGTGACTATCTATAACTAAAGGTGTTAATCTGCATGTCTTTTTCATAGTTATGCGTTAAGTGTTATTTTATTACCGTAATCAGAGATCGGCATTATAGTGGTATTAACGAGTATATTTAAAAAGATTATAACGCATTTAAATGTTTCTAACTTGGAAAAGTAACGTTTTATTACTAAACTAGCTTCTTTTCCTTATCATAATATCAAACTAAATTTTATTTTCCTATTCATATAGAACATTTGTGTGTGTTATTTGCATAATATATTTATTCTGAAGTAAACATAAAATACAAGAAAATATTTCCTTTAATATATAAAAAAAACAGTTCAGTATGTTTTTTATATATTTATGTTATCCAGCTACAATTTATTGATTTTCAAAATACACACACAATATTTAATTTCAATCGTATTTGCAGTTTGAGCCGCGCTGACTTGAAATACGTGAGCTTGCCTAATACAAAAGTTTACTTTATTGAAATTATTTCATTCTTTTTAGAGCGTTTGAAGTCGGTTGTATTTTTTTACAAAAATAAATTATTTCATGATTTTTAGTGACTGTATAATTTTTTATATATTAATTACTTGAGGATTTTTGATAAGCAAAACTGTTTGAAACAATCAAAAGTTCCACAGAACAATCGTTATTTTAAAACTGCTTGAGTCACCTGTTCAGGTTACATAATCAATGGGTATGAAAATAAACATTTTTAGATATTCCTTAAGGAGGAAAGAGTTGTCCATTACATTAGGCCTAATGAAAAACTAATCGTCTTTTCTAGATACATTGAAATGTCAGACATCATCGTTTCCTGCAATCGGTGTACTTCTACATTATAAAAAGAAATACAGTAACGTCTCAAAGCCTTTTGGAACAATATGAAAGTTATTCCTCAGCTACCAGCACTAAAAAATCTCTCAAAAGTGGAAAATTGGTCGTTAACACGTATAGTGTACCCTACTTAGTCTGTAATTTTATAACAATATTTTTATTTTTGATCAACAAATTGAAATTCACAACGACATTTTAAAAGAATATAAATGTTTAACAATTGTTTAAGCATTGTTCTTATGCATTTCTCTGTTATCCGTATTAGGTACCTTATAAAGGCTGGTTTAAGGCATATCATTAAAATTCAACTTAGTAATGGGTTGCTATTTGATCTGTTATTTACACACCTGGTTCCTTGCACATGCTGCACAATCTTGCACCTCCTTTCTTCGTTCCTGAAAAAAATATGTATTGTATTGTGGCTACATGGTTTTGCCATTAATTTGAATCTGCTAATTACTGTCTCAACTATACTTTGAATGTTAAAATTATCATATGATCAGCTGACTGTTTGTAAACTTATTATTTGATTTTATTGTAGTTCTTTCTTAATACAAAAGTGTTTCAATGTTATAATCTCTTCTTTAAACTAACTTATTTTGTGTTAGTATATTTGTATAAGGCACAAGCCTTATTTGGTGACCCCTTTACTGTACTTTTTATTGTCGTTAATTCAATTGGACCATAATGAATAATCAAGAATCTACTCCAACTCCTAGTACACCAGAGGCTTCACAAATCTCACCAATTCAAGTGAAAATTCCACCATTTTGGACAAAAAATGTTTCTCTTTGGTTTCATCAAATTGAGTGTCAGTTTTCTCTTCATGGAATTTCAAAGGAAAGAACTAAATACAATTATGTAATGAGCTCACTGGACAATGAAGTTGCAAGTCACCTTTCAGATTTTATTACCAAACCTTTGTCTCAAACTCCTTACTCTGACTTAAAAGAAAGGCTCTGCTCAGAATACGAAATTTCAGAAAATGCCAAACTAAAACAACTGACAACAGAAGTTTTTCTCGGAGATAAGAAGCCGACAACTCTTCTTCGTGAAATGAGAACCTTAGCAGGCACACAGGTAAATGACAGTTTTTTGAAAGTTATTTTTCTACAACGTCTACCTAGTCACATTCGTACTACTCTAGCTGCTTCTCAAACCAATTCTCTTGATGACTTAGCTAAATTAGGTGACCAAATAGCTGAACTATCAGCTGTCGACAACTACGTTTGTGCTCAAGGAGAAGTTGTGCAATCTAGTGATCGGATTGCCAACTTAGAAAAACAAGTCAGCGAACTAACTCAGTCTATTGATGGACTTCTTAAGTTAAGTAAACGCAACTTCCCAGTCAAACATAAGAACAATTACTATCCTAAAGAGAGAAATGATCAAGGTGAAATTTGCTGGTATCATAACAAATTTGGTGAAAATGCTAAAAAATGTGTTCAACCTTGTTTGTTCACACCAAAAAAGAATGCACAACAGGAAAACTTCCTGCCCCGTCACTAAATGCGGCTCAGGATGACAGGGGCTTTCAATCTCGCCGCTTATTTGTAACTAACTTACCCTGTGGTCGTAAGTTTCTCGTCGATTCTGGAGCAGACATATCTGTTTTGCCTCTCACAAACAAAGACAAATGTGCTGTAAGTGATAGACAATTATATGCTGCCAATGGTTCTGTTATCAAAACGTAGTGTAAACAAGACATAAAACTTGATCTAGGCTTAAAAAGAAAGTTTGTCTGGTCTTTCGTAGTTGCAGACGTAACCCAACCCATAATTGGCGCAGACTTTTTATCACATTATGGTTTACTTGTTGATATCAAAAATAAAAGACTAATCGATAACAGGACTCAATTATCTGTTATTGGAATTCAAAAACTTTCAAATCAACAATCTGTATTGGTTCTTGACCCAAAAGGTAAATACTCAAAACTTATCAACCAATATCCTAATTTACTGAAAGAAAATCCTAATTTTCAAGTTTCACAGGACACAGTTTTTCACTCAATTCAGACAACAGGTCAGCCTGTGAACTTTAGAGCTAGACGTTTATCTCCAGAAAAACTTGCGGTAGCTAAAAATGAGTTTCACAAGATGGTTGAGTTAGGCATTTGCAGACCTTCAAAAAGCTGTTGGTCCAGTCCACTTCATTTAGTTCCTAAAACTGATGGTACGTGGAGACCTTGCGGGGATTACCGTGCCCTAAATGCAAAAACAGTTCCTGATAGATATCCTATACCTTATTTGCATGATTTTAACAGCCAGTTAAATGGAAAAACTATATTTTCCAAAATTGATCTTGTTCGAGCTTTTCATCACATTCCAGTAGCTCCTGATGACATTCCAAAAACTGCTGTCATAACGCCTTTTGGATTATTTGAATTTCTAAAAATGCCATTTGGATTAAGGAACGCTGCACAAACTTTCCAGAGATATATTAATTCTCTTTTGCATGATCTAGAGTTTACCTTTTGTTACTTAGATGATATTCTAGTAGCATCCTCCTCAGAAGATGAACATATTAATCACTTGCAAACTGTTTTTGATAGACTTAATAAGCATCACATTAATATTAATACGTCAAAGAGCGTATTTGGCGTGACTGAGATCTCTTTTCTTGGTTACACAGTTTCGAAACAAGGAATTTCTCCTCTTCCTGATAAAGTTGAAGCTATTGTTAGTTGCAAACTTCCTGAAACCATTCTTGAGCTTCGTAGATTCCTTGGACTTATAAACTTTTACAGAAGTTCACTTCCTAACGCAGCTGCTGTTCAGCAACAACTATTTGATTTGTGTAAGGGTACACATAAATCTGATAAACGAAAAATAATTTGGACTTCAGAATCTAAGAAAGCTTTTGAGGATGCAAAGGGGCAGCTAGTCAATGCCACACTTCTAGCACACCCATCTCCTGATGCTCCTTTAGCTCTCATGGTCGATGCATCAAACTTCGCTATAGGTTCGTCTCTCCACCAGATTTGTAATGGAAACTTTGAACCTCTTGGGTTTTTCTCTAAATCCCTTACAACGACTCAACAAAAATACAGTACCTATGACAGGGAACTCCTGGCTGCATACCTATCTGTGAAGCACTTCCGTTATCTCCTTGAAGGGCGAAGTTTTGTTATATATACAGATCACAAACCTCTATCTTTTGCCTTCAATAAACCCTCTGATACATCTAGTCCAAGGCAATTGCGTCATCTAGACTTTATTGGACAGTTCACTACCGACATAAGGTATCTTCCAGGAAAACAAAACATTCCTGCTGATTTCATGTCAAGAATAAGTGCTATTGACCTACCTTCATCTATATCATTTGAACAAATTTCTGAAACTCAATCTCAAGATGCTGAACTTAAAAATCTGAAGTACTCAAACACAACTTCTTTGATATTCAAAAATATTTTACTTCCTAATGGCTCAGAGCTGTGTTGTGACACAAGTACTGGAAGGCTACGACCATTTATTCCTCAGCAGTTCAGAAAGCAGTTATTTGACTCCCTTCACAACCTGGCACATCCTGGAATCAAAGGATCTCTGGACCTTATTAAACAACGTTTTGTTTGGCCTTCCATGAATAAAGATGTCAGACTTTGGGCCAAAGCATGTGTAGCTTGCCAGAAATCAAAGGTTTGGAAACATACTACTTCTGAGATTGGAGCTTACAACGACATTAATGGATGTTTTTCTCACATTAATGTGGACATAGTTGGACCCTTGCCACCTTCTCAAGGATTTACGTACTTGCTAACTATCATAGACCGCTTTACACGATGGGTCGAGGCAACGCCTATCAAGGATATTACTGCTGGAACAGTTGCAGAAGCACTTCTTTCTACCTGGATTGCTAGATTTGGAGTTCCTCAAAACATTACTACAGATAGAGGAAGACAATTCGACTGCAATTTATTTCATGAATTAACAAAACATCTTGGTATCCATCACATTAAAACTACAGCGTATCACCCTGAAGCTAATGGAAAGATCGAGAGATGGCACCGACATCTGAAATCTGCATTAACAGCTCAACTAACATCTAACTGGACACAGACGGACTTCTTAATAATATTAGTAAGTAATGTCTAGCTCAATGTATTTGCTTTATCTTTGTAAGTATCTGTATTTCAGAGTCTGGGTTTTCATTGTTTCCTTCAATTTCTTAAAATGTTCTCATTATTATAGTTACATACTTTTCGTTTTACTTCCTAGATATTGGTGAATTTTGTTTTCTTTGTTGTCTTTTCCACAAAAGTTATTGGACTAAAGGTAAATTTAATTTATAATTCATTTTGTTACCCTTTTCAGAGAATTTTTTGTTATTGTTAAGTATTAGTTGAGACTCCCGCCCACACACAGAAGTTTTAATCTTCTTTGGGTGTGTATATTTCTTCGCAAGTTAAAGCAAACTGTTTTTATTTAATTAATTAACAATAAGTTTTTATTACATTGTAAAATAATTTGTTTGTATAGATCTTTGTAATTTTATTGTATTACTTGTGGAGAAATAAAGATTTATTATTATTATTATTATTATTAGACGTTACCAATGGTTCTACTGGGACTAAGATCTTATATTATTCCAGAACACAATGTTACTGCTGCAGAAATGACACTAGGTCAGTCCATCAGACTGCCATGTGATCTTTTTCAAACCACAGAAGATACCTCAACAAATGTTCCTGATTTAGTGTACAATCTGAAAAGAAAAATGAATGATCTCAAACCAATAGAAGCCAAATACCATTCTTCTAAAAAGGTCTTTGTTCATCCAGAATTAAGAACATCCAACCAGGTTTTTGTTCGTCATGATTCATCCCGAAGACCGTTGCAAGCTGTCTATGATGGCCCTTACCAAGTGGTTTCGCGATCTGACAAGTGGTTTACTATTCTTACTCCACGAGGACCTAAGTCGATTTCTATTGACCGACTCAAACCGGCATTCCTCCTTCAAGATTCTATGAACGATACGACCATTAACGTAAGAAAAAATGACATGCAATCTAGAGAAACTCAAGTAGACAAGACCAAAGACAGAAATGAAGATGTTGACCTTAAAAAAACACTGATTTTTACAAGATCAGGTCGTAGTGTTCATCCCCCGCATCGTTACATTCCTCGTTGACACTGGGAGGGGAGTATGTGGCTACATGGTTTTGCCATTAATTTGAATCTGCTAATTACTGTCTCAACTATACTTTGAATGTTAAAATTATCATATGATCAGCTGACTGTTTGTAAACTTATTATTTGATTTTATTGTAGTTCTTTCTTAATACAAAAGTGTTTCAATGTTATAATCTCTTCTTTAAACTAACTTATTTTGTGTTAGTATATTTGTATAAGGCACAAGCCTTAGTATCAAAACAAAATATGAAGGTTTTCGCACCTTCCTAAAAATGACATCCTAAAAAACTGCTCTTATGATTGATCTATCCACAAACATTACTATAACCTCACTAATTGTAATTTGTTCCTCTCTAAGCAAGAAATAAAAACAAAGAGCCATGAGATATGTGAATACCTCAATGGTGACACCAGAAAATGATTATGAATGTCTAGTTAGTTGAAAACAATAAAGGATAAATATATAAAGGCTACTTACAGTCTTTGCAATCCTGTTAATTTAGCACTACAACCATTTTGGAAATAACTCCATCATCCGGAACTATTTACATATTTACGTGTTTTTTTTATATTTTCATTGTGTCAAAGTTTAATAAATAATACATGCAACACAAGACACAGACACAACACCAAAACATTAAGGCACGTGCACGGCTAAAAACTGATGACCGACTGAAAAGGCTTATCATTAGGAAAAAAAGATGAACCCAAATAAAGAAACTCGACAATCTTTATAAAGTAAAAAAAAACACAGCCACAGTTATCTCGTGTTCTCACACATTTCACCCTAGAATAGTCAATTTGACATCAATAGAGTTTAATCAGCAGGATACATCATTACTCAACAAAGGTCTTAATTATAATTTCCATCACAAACAAAAAAAAAAAAAAACGGTATAGTTGACTCTCTTTTGGAGATTGAAAGTTGTATTGAGACAATAAAGCATGAGAAACAGCACCCTGTTAGATATGAGATCATTATAAGTAAAGTCAAGGAAACAGTGAAATGGTCATTGTTGATAATTTTTCAAACGATGCTAAAAATGACAGCTTTAAGAAGTTTAACAGATAAGCTCGACCTCAATAAGGTCGTTGTCACAAAGGTTGATAAAGGTAATGCAGTAGTAGTATTAGATAAGGATTAATACACGTGTAAAGTGGACAATTTTATTGCAGTAAATAACATTAATATTCTAACTACCTAAGGATCTAACATGACATTATCACAGTGATGTTAATAAAGTTATTAATAAATGTAAACATCTCCTTAGTGATAGTCAAAAGAGGCAGGTCAAGGTCATGAACCCTAGTGCTCCTAAAATAGTTGGCTTCCGAAAATAAAGAGGATGTTCCAATCAGACCTTTAATGAACTTTATTAACACACCTCCATACAACTTATGCAAACTTATGGGTAAAATTATAAGAAACAACATCGACTTGTAAATTAATTGCAGCGTTAAGAACAGTACACATTTGGTTGATGTGATAAAAAATGTATATATTCGGTCCCACGTACAGTTTGTATCTTTTGATGTCACGAATTTGTATACGAGTGTGCCTATTGACAAAACCATATGTTTGGTAGAACAGTATGTTAGAACAAAAGGAACTTTAAAAACAATCAGTGAGAAAACAGCAGAATTATTATAAGAGTTGTCCTAAAACAGAACTATTTTGAGTTTAACAACAAACATTGTTTACAAACAGGGATTAGCTATGGGTTCACCTTTATCTTCAATCTTATTGGAAATCTTCCTTGATAACATAGAACACCAGCGCATCTTGGCCGAAAGTAATGCGCATCAAGAAAAGATTGTTTACTGGCACCGATACATCGACGACATACTTTGCTTATTCCAAGTGTTAAGCAAATAGACAAATTGACCTGTTTGGAAAATATCTTAATTATATCCATCCTAGACTTAAATTCACAATAGAACATGAGAAAAGCTCTTGAGAAAATCGGATAACAAACACCTCTTTAACATTTATAGAAAACCAACCAGTACAGACACAACCATCCAAAGCACCTTTAATCACCCCCACTCTCACAAGATCGCAGCCTAAAACTCAATGATCTACAGATTGATTGACAAACCTTTAAGTGAAGAAAATGATAGAAATGAGCTTAACACGTTCGCTACCGAGCGACGCACATATGCGTCGGTCTGGTCACTCCTATAGACCAAAAGGAATGATAATGACGTTGCTTACAGACCAAGTGATATAGGAATAACATTGCCGACAGACCAAAAGAGAAATATCGTTTAAATGGACTAATTGACTTCATATTAACCTTAAGTGAATAAGTAAGAAATAAATATTGTTTTTATTTATCGTTTTGAGCAAATTTTAAAACGCTGCATATATGCGTCGGTCAGTCTATTTAATGAAATCCAGTTAAAAAGATTACATTTTCGTTTCAATAGACCAGGCGACGCACGTAAGCGTCGTTGTAATTTGGTTGTTTCAAGCTTTTACACAAACAAATAAAGAAACTCCACTAAACACTCGCTAAAACTGCAAAGGTTATAACGTTTACATCTGTTCTGTGATGTCGCGGAATACACAATGTAAACAACAATGTTGCCAACTGTTGTGTGACGTAACCAATCGTCATATCCACAGACCAAGCGACGCACATTTGCGGCAGATATCCCTCTGGACCGATACGATAAAATCAGGGCTTTAAAATAGACCGTTGCTAAGAAATACGCTGATTAATAACATTGAACACCGATCCAAGTGTGCGTCGTTAGTCTATTTCAAGTGACCAGCTGACGCAAATATGCGTCGGTGGTCTATTGTGAGAAACGAGTCGACGCACAATTGCGTCGCTGGTCTATGCGAACGTAAATTTCATATAATTAAGGTAGCGAACGTGTTAACACAATAAAACAAATTGCCTTGAATAACGGTTACAGCTCTGACATGATTGATAAACTGCACAGGAGAATTAAGGGGAAAGCCAATAATATAACTGACAAAGATCAAATTGATAAAAAATATCTTTTCTTTTTTCTTTTTTAAAAAATAAAGAGGTTGGCGGCCTCTTTTAACCTTGCATTTGCCCGTCTACATAGACTAATCACCTTAAAACGTGTATTTGTTGTGCGTGGATCGTATACAGCAAAGCGAGGAGTGAGCCGGTACAGTACAAAGAAAATGATCTGTACTCATAAAATGTTTTTGGCAGTGACCAGGATCCGAACCCACGACATCGCTGCCTTGGGCCTGAAGTCCGCGACGCTACCGACTGAGCCACCGACTCTGATATTTTAATTGTGACATTAGAGTTCTGTAAATAAACTCAACCAACGTCTAGCAACTCGTCCTTTTAGTAGGCACAACTATTCAGTTGCATACAGAACTAGCAACAACCTTCAACGTAAGTTGTCAGCTCCACGACAAAGTAATACTACGCCTATACTAGAGAAGTCAGGTGTGTATAAGCTTAAGTGTGGAGAATGTGATTCCTACTACATCGGACAGACTGGTAGATGTTTTAAGACCAGGTATAAAGAACATATAAGCGCTATAAAGAAACCAAATCCTGTCTCAAATTATGCAGAACAAATTCAACAGTATTGCCATGACTACTCTGAAATCAATAGTTGATAAATACTCCATATTGGTAGCAAAGGTAACAAACTTAATTGTATTTAAAATTTCCACATCTGCACCAGTACAGCTAAAGAACCGGATTTAATCATTAATTTGAATAATTTCCAGACTAATTCAGCACCCAATCCAATTTTTGAGAAAATAATACAAATCAAATAGGACAAGGTATAATTTGAGCAGCTATGATAGTACACGTGTCATCAGTTGTTCCAGTCGTCCACCCAACCTTTGCAGTGATAAGGTTCAATCAGTCGGTCGTCAGTTTTTAGCCGTGCATGTGCCTTGATGTTTTCGTGTTGTGTCCGTGTCTTGTGTTGCATGTATTATTTATTAAACTGACGCAATGAAAATGAAGAAACCATGTAAAAAAGTAAATTTGTAAATAGTTCAGTTTAGTGTATGATGACTATGCACCCGACGATGGAGTTATCTCCAAAACGGCCGTATTGCTAAATTAACAGGATTGTAAAGACTGTAAGTAGCCTTTATATATTTATTACAAGCAATCTGCCACACTGAATAATCTTGAATAAAGGATATAATATGGTATGTGCTAAGTCTGAAACTCACGAGGTAGAGCTGTGATATATTCTTTTACCATGCGATAAATTAAAACTCACCTCGGCTGGTCCCCTGACTTGATCCATAGGGTTTTGCTCTGAACTCGCTGTTGGTTTTTCCTTTTGGTCTACCCTTTCCTGAGCCCCCACCTCCTCTTTTACCCCTGCTTCCACTTCCACCTCCTCTCCCAGTCCACCTGTCTCCCCCTCCCCAACCACCTCCTCCTCCACCACCACCCCCTCCTCCATCCCCTCCATCTCCTCCACCTCCTTCTGTTTGTCCGTCGTCTGCCCACTGGAAGAAGCCGCACTTCTCATCCATTGGCTTTGAACAAGCATAGAAGAATCTTCCTTTATTGACTGACTCTTTCAATACTTTCAACCTGTAACATTAAAAAAGTACATTCTTTCTCAAGGATAGTACAAATTATTTTTAAATGTGTGCAAGCAGTACAAAAGCAACTCTGAAGCAGAAAACTCACACTAATTTTAGATTAGACTCTTGTCTGATAAAAAAAAATCACAAGTTAGTACAATTGGAGCTCAAATTACAAGTGCAGAATTAATTAACTGCTTTTACAGTTGCATCACTAAAAATTCATTTATGTACAATGTACACAGATTTAAAGCAGCTCTTAGCACGTGTATGAGCTGTAACATCAAATTTTCCAGCCAGATAAATTTGAATGATATTCCTCTTCTGAGTAAGTGGTTTTTACCGTGTTCAAGGAGTCTATAATACAGGATAGTTACACTTAGCAGTATGACAATGTAAATTAATGTGACACAGTCCTTTTATCATGTTTAATATACTACATTAAGACATACTGACAAAACCTGACAGGAGGGTGGAACAGGACAATGGCTAGGCCGACCCTCTGAATTCACCACTTAAAAGTGGAAATATAAAAAATAATTGAAAATATAATAAATTTGATATTTATGAAAATAATTTAATCAAAGTTATCACAACACCAAACTTTACATATTTGTCCCAAGAAAATTGGCCGACTTTATTTAGTGAGGCGTGGCCAATGGTATTTACACGGATAACCATTGTTCTGTTCTACCCTCTGGTCAGGTAGTCCGCCTCAACTTAGGTTGAGACAGGATTAAAAATTGTTTTAAGTAAGTAAACTTACCCTGAATTAAAATTTTTTAAAGGAAATATTGTAAAAAAATACACACAGATGAAAACAGACAGACAAAAAGTAGTTCATAAAAATAAGTAGTAAATGACAGTTTTTTGCTAATAAATAAACACAGAAGATACCACAAATACTTTAGTTTGTCATTTATCTAGTGTAAAAACTTGTATTCTGTCTTCATTTTTGAAGAATTACTCATTGGTAAACTTATAGATTTACACTTAAGTATGAACTCACTTTCTTGCTGGTAGACCGCATGTGCAACAAATGTCATCTGAAAAAGAAAACCTTTAAATATCAACAAACACAAATCTGTTTATACAGGGAAATTAATACAGAAAATGCATTTTTGAATATAAGGTAAGTAAAAATAATTTTTACTTAGACTGTGCTCAGTAAATAATAAAAAAAAAACCAAAAAACTAGTTCTCACGGAAAAAAAAACACAAACAACTACTTAAGAGAAAAACATTAAGAATGGGTTATACCATTTCTATGCAATTATAAACATTACAGATTGAAATAAGAACACAGTTTTGTGATTGGAAAAAACACGATTATCATATAAGATACCAACCAACACAAATAAATAAATCACCTGTAGGGCCAGCATTGAAGCTATTGCTGAAGTTGGCTCCCCAGGACTGTCTGCCAGATGTTCCTTGGTTGTTCCAGCCAGACGAGTTGTTTGTTCCGAAGGACGAACGGTTGTTTCCTGGGTTGTTCCAGTGGTTACCTGGTCCTGGGTCATTCTCTCTGTCTGAATTTGTATCTGATAACATTAAGATTTAAAAGGTTGATTTATTCAGAACTTCATTTTTCACTAACACAATGTTTGTTTTTGAATACAATAGCAATAGGCCTACGTAAAAATAACTTTTGGAGTATTTTAAAACGTTTGTATTAGCTGGCTTTCTTGTCCAGTACAAATTTAGCAATCAATTTTAAACTAACTTCCCGATGAGCTAGAGACCTAAAACTTGAAACATACCTATAGTCTAGTAAAATTATGATTTGACCTGGGCAAAATTGCTTCATAAGCGATTGAAGTGGTATTCAACTCAGAAAATGTTGCTTTATAACATATCCAAAATCCGACAAAATCCATCCATGGGAAAGTGACTAAAATCAGAATTTAAAATGGTGGCTTTTCCCAACATTGGACAAATTGAAAAAAAAAAACATATTTCACATGCATTTGTTATGCACATTTTTCGAGATATTGTCTTAGGACCACCACCTGTATTTATTGGGTGGTTAGTACTTCATTTTGATAGGGAACATGTTTTTGGCCGCCATCTTGGATCCGCCATATTGGACATACATAATTTTTTTTCAATGCAATGATAGTGTTGTGACACATTGTTACCAACTACATTTTTACACTGATTTAAATGCCAAAATCCGTTTTTAAATATCTTTATTCATTTAGAAGATATATTCAAACGAAAACTCTCCACCATACATTTCTTATGGACGTTTCGTAGTTTGATAATTGTTTTAACATTATGTTTCTTATATCTCCAGTTCTTATTGACGCTTGTAGTTCGTTCTAGGCTTAAAATATTCAGTAATGTAAGGGCTTTCATTTGAGCTCTTGATAATTAATATCAGACGAGTTGAAGACCAGCGACGAACCTCAGAACAATATTAAATTTAACTTTTTAGAAATATATTTTTATTAAAAGATTTATAACTCGGGTTGTTAATACGTCACAAAGTTATTTCTGGTCTCAAATTACTCAGTAAATGTTTGGCTTTAATTTTATTGGTCATTAAACAAAATCTGACAATTTTAAAATGAGTCATGGACCATAATTTAACATTAAAATGTATTTATATTGAAATTTCTCTTTAGTTAAAGACGTATATCCCCAATTCTAAATAACTCCCAAAACTCTTTATAGTCTTAAATAATTCACCAAATTATTAACTTTTATTTTAGCTATGGATTACTTTCCGGGAGTTATTAGGGTTTGGGATATATGTCCTTAACTAAAGACAAATTTCAAAATAAATACATTTTAATGTTAAATTAAGAACCACGACTCATTTTAAAATTGTCAGATTTTGTTTAATGGTCAATAAAATTAAAGCCAAACATTTACTGAGTAATTTGAGACCAGAAATACCTTTGTGACGTATTAACAACTCGAGTTATAAATCTTTTAATAAAAATATATTTCTAAAAAGTTATATTTAATATTGTTCTGAGGTTCGTCGCTGGTCTTCAACTCGTCTGATTTTAATTATCAAGAGCTCAAATGAAAGCCCTTACATTACTGAATATTTTAAGCCTAGAACGAACTACAAGCGTCAATAAGAACTGGAGATATAAGAAACATAATGTTAAAACAATTATCAAACTACGAAACGTCCATAAGAAATGTATGGTGGAGAGTTTTCGTTTGAATATATCTTCTAAATGAATAAAGATATTTAAAAACGGATTTTGGCATTTAAATCAGTGTAAAAATGTAGTTGGTAACAATGTGTCACAACACTATCATTGCGTTGAAAAAAAATTATGTATGTCCAATATGGCGGATCCAAGATGGCGGCCAAAAACATGTTCCCTATCAAAATGAAGTACTAACCACCCAATAAATACAGGCGGTGGTCCAAAGTCAATATCTCGAAAAATGTGCATAACAAATGCATGTAAAATATGTTTTCTTCAATTTGTCCAATGTTGGGAAAAGCCGCCATTTTAAATTCTGATTTTAGTCACTTTCCCATGGATGGATTTTGTCGGATTTTGGATATGTTATAAAGCAACATTTTCTGAGTTGAATACCACTTAAATCTCTTGTGAAGCAATTTTGCCCAGGTTTAAGGGTAATTTGTCTTAGTTTGACTGGACTACTAGCTCACAAATGTATGACAATGCAATAATATTATATCATTTAATTTTCATATTTCCCTTGGACTACGCCCCATGGGCTTGTTTATATTACAGTAGAACCTCGGTTAACCGAGCCTCGCTTAACCGAGACTCCGGGTTAACCGAGGCCGTCCTCGGACGATTTTTTTTATTTAAAAAGCAAAAGAAACACGCACAAACTACGTACAGTAATGAGCGTTTGGGTGCTCCTTTTATCGCAATACGCATGCTAGCCTGCAATGCGTTAAAACTAGGGGTCTGCGGTGCACCGAAAAAGTCGGTACGGTACAGTACAAGCTTAATTACCGTCATCGGTTCGGTACAGCATTTTACACGGTACAAATTCGGTTCGGTACAGCCTATTATAATAATAAATTACTTTCAGTTTACTATCGTAGTCAACGGCAGTTGGTTCCGAGCACATAAAAGTCTTATCAGATGTTTGTTTACGATCTTCATAATTTATTACTAGCGTGATGATGCAATAAAAAACCCATTAGCAGTCCCAATTCCATTAACATTTTATCACGACAATAATTGTTGTATTGAAGTACTTCCAAGAACTGTTGAGTTTTATCACTTTTATTTCTTTACGACTTTCCCCAATTCTGTTTTATCATAAAAATAATAGTTTTATGATGACTGTTAAATGTTATCTCTAACTTAATCAGTATTTTCGTGAATATTGAATTTGCCGCTGGCCATTGCCTACTGCCATAAAACTGTTTATGGCTACATATTAAACTTGTAACAAATCTACAATCTTATTTTATAAATTAAATATTTGTTATGGATATTTTATCTTTCTATTGACGACCATGGATATATACAAACTTTTGTCGTGATTTTAATTTCAACATCAAAATACAATATTGCACAATCGTGATATTTTAGGCCATTGACCTTTATTATGCATCCGGTATTGCTGTTTCAGAAGAGAAGCACGTTGATAAATTATAAATTGATATTCCCGTAGTTAAAAAGAATTATTTTATAAACCTATAAAACAAAATCATAAAATCTTACACAAAGATAACAATAACGGAAATTGTAAAAAGGGTATAAAGATAACAACGTTATTCTTTCTCTTTGTTCTTCTATTTCTTGGGTTTCCCTTCATCACGCATTCAACAAGTTGCCATGGTTACTAATCACCCATGTCGTTATCAGCTTTTGTGACATAGCGCACAGCAGGGGGTAAAACTTGACGAAAATCGGTAAATTTTTACCTATTATTTAATTACCAATGAATGTACGGTACTACTTTATTGGTATTTGGTATTGTATTAATAATCGGTCCAAATGGCAGATTTTTGTCAAATTTTACACCAAATTTATTGAAATTTCAAGGTGAATATTAATAAAACAATTATTACCAAATATTTGTATTCATTTAAAAGATTGATTTGTGGTATTGGGTTCCCCACTGAGTGCAGCCGAGCGGCACTAATGAGGGTCGGACCTTCTTAAGGGTGAACAATAGACGGCTTATCAGACCCTCCCCTCCCCCGTGGTCTGGAGAAAGCATGTAAACAAACTATTGCACAAGCGTGACTTAACATTGAGCTGCTTCAACTATAATTTTGTTAAATGAACTGTGATGTTTCAAAATCAAAAACAATAATTTGGGACCATACTGCTTAACAATAATGGACTGCAATTATTGTTGAACATACAATCCATTTTTAACAAACTAAAATTATTTGATTCAAATACAATTATAAAAATTTATCTTGGTATTTTACTTGGGGTAATGAAGTTATGTAGGCTAGTGTAATTCTCGGTTCATCAAGGTTCTACAGAATTATGTTTGGCAGTGAATAAGTGTAGAATGCAATTTATAAATTCAGGGATACACACCTTTTACACAGTTATAAAGTCTAATTGCCCAACATCAAATCTTACTCTGTGATAATCCAAATTTTAGTTTCAGAAAAAAACTTTGCAAGAATTGTATCCATCTTATAACTTAACTAGTTTTGAAGCTGATAAAAAAAATGGTCTTTGCCATTACTTCATCATAACCTCCAGTTTTCCATTGTCATCTGCTGTGAACAGCTGGCAAAACTACACTGTCTTCTACTGAATGCTTTTATATGTTTTTAAAATAAAATAAAAAAAAAACAACTAGACATTGTGTTGGTTGGAAATAATTTACCAGTTTTGTGAAATTATCTTGTCAATAAATGTTTCAAACATGTTTATTCATAAAAACTCTTATCCTATTTTTAAACTACTTTATCATGGCTATTCAAAGTATCTCAGAGTAAAATAGGTAAAGCCTTTATCTCAACTGTGATTTTTCTTGACACGATCCTCGTAGTAGTAAAAGGTTTTGTTTTAATAATATGTGGTACAGTAATTGTTGTTAGAAAACCATGAATGTAGGATACTATCCATTTTCATAGTAATGTCTATGTATTAAAGTTAAAAATAATGGTTTGGATACAGTTCTGAGAAGAAAACCGCAAAAATACGGGTAGCCGCGTACCGTACCGATTTTGTACCGAGAACCGAGGTACAAAATATTGTACCGTACCAAACCGTACCGACCTTAAATTTTCTGTACCGCAGACCCCTAGTTAAAACTACTGTACAGTAAAATGTTGGCAACTGTTGTGTTTCCTCGGCCAAATATTTGCGTAGCTTAGCGCTTATCTTTGCCGAATGCATACGGCACTGTCACCCGACACCGCTCGCCAGAGCAGCTGCAGGTGTTGTAACCCGACACCGCTCGCCGCCGGACCAATGCGAACTGTTTCAATGCCGAGACGCGACTCGGCGACTGAGCCACTCGCTCTCCCCACCACCCCGATTCGACTCCGTAGCTTATTGCGCATCTAGTGGGCTGACGATTTAGTTTGGCTACGACGCTGGCGCAACAGGGCGGCTAGCCTAAGATCCTCTAATCTAAGTCAAAAAACAATAACTGATTTCTTTGGGAAAAAAGATTAGCTTACTTTGTTTATTTTTGTACAATGTACAGTAAATTAATTTTCATTTCTTTGATTTAATTTTGTAAACAGGAATACTGTACTGTACTGTAACTAAACATCTGTACATTGTGTAGCCTATATCATACGTATTCAGTTGTGCAATAAATTGAGTGTTATATTAAAACAGTGTTTAGTATTGTGAGTGTTACCGTTTCCTCTCACGTTTTATTGCGTACTAATAACATTTCTTGTACTAATAAACTAAACAACAGTTCAGTTAATAACTTTTGTTCATGTTTTAGTATATCTTGAGCTATTTTTAGCCCCGGTAACGATTTTTAGGTTATGTTCCGTGTTATCCGAGGTTCGCCGTATCCGAGGTACCCTCGGTCCCAATTACCTCGGTTAACCGAGGTTCTACTGTAGCTCCCTTTTTTGGTCCGGTACAAATTTTGATATTGATTTTAAACTAACTTCCTGTTGAGCTAGAGACTTCAAACTTGTAACATATCTCACAAATGGATGACAATGCAAAACTATATAATTTAATTTTCATATTTTCCTTGGGCTAAGCCCCATGGGCTTCCAAATTTTTCATTTTTACATTTAGGAAGAATGTAAATATATCAAATGAAGTCAGCTGTAAATATTTGACAGTTCGAAGAGCAGAGGTTAAGAGGTACAGGTTCTGCTCATGAGAGATCTAAATATAAAACAAACATTTAAAAGTAAAGATAAAACATCTGATACAAATAACAGACATCCGAAACAGATAATAAGGTTTCGGTTATGTATTAATAGGCCATATACAATAGGTTTAACATATTTACACAGAGTAAAAAGTAGAAAATAATTAAAAATAAAAATACTCAACCCAACAGCGCATGTAAAACAATTCAAACAAAAAATTCAATGAAAACATATATGCGGAAAATATGGTCAAAATGCCAACCCATTCACCCAATCTTTTAAAACTGTGGCAGAAATTTTTTAGATTCGTATGTACATAGTAAGAGATAAAAGAAGTGACTACCCTCGCTACAATGATGCTACCAGCATAGATGTCGCAGCTATTTTAAAGCTGAAAACAGAGCACCACCTGGCCAAATAAATCTTAGTGTTTTTTTTTTTTATTTTAAAAAACTAATAGTGTTAAACGTGAATCCGTTCTAGATACGTCGTTAAATCCACTTTTATGTTCCCAACCGGAGACTTTGATTGGGGAGCCTAATTTAGACACGCCTAAAACAGAATATATCGTAAAAATAATTTAACAATGCTATAGTACGAGTCGTATTGGTTGGAGTCAAGAGAGGGATTTAGATTGCTACCTTAGGTCTGAAAAGTTCACTTTACAGTGTGTGGTTGACATCTACGTTCTCATAGAGGGCACCCGCCTGCATACAGTACATAAGATATAACCAAAGCAGTATGAGAACGGATCTATTGTGAACATTGTACCGTAGATTACTTTTATAATTTTTTACAACATAATATTTGTCACATTTCTATAATAATTAATCAGTCATAGAAATTACTTTAGAGTGACTATGATTGAGGCAACTGTAGGAAAAAGTATTTTTATCTATAATTTTTTGGTGTCAGTTAAAAAAAATTATTTTGTGTTGGAAAATCTTGATCTTCTGGCTGGTATTGTCAACTTATTCATGGTAGGGGTCTTTTTACATCCTACAGTTACGCAATCCCGTTAGGAATTTAAGGTAAGTAGTCATGTAATAGTGAATGTTACCTGTAAAATGTCAATAAATATCTACAACTGTAGGCCTACAATACTTACTGAAGGAATTAGTCTGTCTGCCTACAGTTTGAGCACTGGGGTTAGATGTGGAATCTGGAAATATTAAGGAAATCAATTAGATAGAGGAAAAAATTAAACTCGCAAAAAATCATGTTTTAAATAGTCAAATAAATTTTTATGTTTGGTTTCCCTCCATAGTTAAAATTATGTATGTTGTGGCTGTGCTTTAACCAACAAGTAAAAGAGACCAAATGTTTCAATAAATAGTGTGCAAATGTTCAATCTTTGAGCTTATTCTTAAAAACACGAATAGCGATTTACTAAATTATTCTGTTATACAAATTAAAAATTTGTAAGCTTATACCATTCCTGGCCATTCACTTTAGTAGATAAAAACTTGTGTAAAACTCTAAAATAAATAGCATTTATCTATCAAACTTTCTTTTGTTTAATTTGAAAATATGAATCCCAAAATAGGGTATATTCATTGGCTGGCTCTACCAAAACCATTTTACAACAGAAGTGATCAAACCTGAGGTTTGAAATTGGTTTAATCATCAAATATTGCACTTTATTGAATATAGTTAATTAATTTTAAGATAGACTTACATGTTGCGGAGGAGTAACCACTTGAAATTCTTGAATCATCTTGATTGCCTTGATTTGAAGAATCGCGATAGACTGCAAAACACATCATAATTGTTGTTTAAATTTTAAATAACCATCTAAAATAAAATGGAAACTACAAACAAATTAAAGAAAAGATAGATTATATAATATCTTGTATAGTCTCTGAGAAAGATATGAGTACTTTTTGTGCACAGTACTCCCACTAATCTTGTTTAATATAATAGAGATGGTCAAAACCAGAAATTTTGAATTTCAAAACCCAAACCAAAACTTAAATGAGCGAATCCCAAATCTTAACTTAAACGCAAAATTGTTTACCAGCCTGGTTAGGTCACAATAATTACAGATATTGTAATAAAAAAAGTTTACTATGCAATCAAAACTGAATGAGATTTGACTTGCAATCCTAATGATAACATGAATATAAGATCAATTCAAACATTTAGTGGTTAATTTTTTTTGTTTGTGTTTACTAGACATTGACATGAAACATTATCCTAGTATGTTTTTGTATTAAGTTAAGATACCTGGTAGCAGTTCAGAATACAATTTACTTGTTTCATCGGTGTGAATGGTGATCTGTTTGCTCCATTGCTGCCAACTTGTGTGTGAACAGTAAGCTGTTGCCGATCGCTCATATGATTTTTCAATTCAAATTTCTTTGACAAAACCTTTCAAAAGGGCTTAAGTATTGAGATCCTAATAAATACAAATGACAATAAGATATGACTGGTCTAATCTTGAAACTAAAGCTTCTTGAAACTCACCGATTGAATCTCAAAACTGAAATTTTCAAAGTTTTGGTGGTTTTGACACATTACTACAAATATGAGACAAGGCAGCTATTATTTACACATGTTACACTAGCACAACCCTCTAACATATAAACTCTAGATTTTGGGAAGTGTTTTGCTTGACTGTACCTGATAGGTCAGTTACCAACTCAGCCTAACCTGTTAGTGACTCACTCACCAGACGCCAGTGACTTCATATGCAATGCGTTTAGAATGTCTTGATCACATCCATTGACACACGCCACGGTCGGGTTGGTGTAGAAGGGGGGGAGTGTGCCTGGCTGGTAGGAAATCTTCAACTGATGAACCTCTGGACCACACTGTTCAGCCAAACAGACATGAAGTGAGGTTGTAACAGGTACAATGCACACGGGTTCAATCTTACACTAACTCAGTAAATTATAGTCACGTTCGTTTCCTGACACAGCTATAATTTAAGGGATTTGGCTAATACTTTTTCGATTTAAGTTTTTATTTTTGATCAGCTGTTGGCTAGTACTTTAATTCGGCGCAAGGAGCGTGTAAGCTTCGACCAAACTGTAATGATAAGATGACCAAAAGACAAGAGGATTTGTTCATCGACTACCAAAGAGTTTGCTTCCTCTTACACTTCTGAGTACTCATTTTACTCCAACAATCTACACGCCAGTCACCAAAAATATATTCTGAAGGTTAGCTGTTATATAATCCTATTTCCACGATTTTGGTTAACTCACATATTTTTGTTCTAAATTATTATTAAGTTTATAACAAAAATTTCCTTTTAGACTTGCCAGTTCCTGCCAGCCAGTGACTAGCCGTTAACTTAGTTAACGTTAGTTAGTTTGTTTCAAAATAACTCATTCAAAATTACAACCGTTCCGTTCTAGATTTGGTTCCAGGGGTAGGCCTAGCTCGTCCAGTGAATATAATTTTATTCTCCCCTCAGAATTTACGTATAATTTCTGGCGAGCCAAACAGGGACACAAATTTCTGGTGCCTCCCTAGAATTTACATCACAACAAAAACTATGGTCCAAATATTCCACGATAATTATGATGTACATGATAAGATAATAGATTTTTTATTAATAGAAAGTGTTTTTTTAATTGTAGAATTGTTATATTAATGTGTTTTACTCACTGTGGGACAGGTGTTATCAGCCAACTCTACGCTGGTGACTGTAGCAGGGAACCACAGAGAGGTGCGACACTGTGGGAACCCTAGACAACCGAGGTACCATCCAGCGTTGTTGGGGCGCTGCCTGACAATGACATTACACTGACACCTGCGACACCTGTCAAACAAACACACAGACGTTGAACAAAACAAAAGGATTTATGTTCATCAATATTTTCCTGGACAGTTACGGTCTGCTTAATGTGATCTTTGACTACTAATACAACTAGGCTTTCCATCTCCAAGTTAAAGTTGTCGCTAAATCACTAATATCAGTCGAATACACAGACTTTTTAACAAAGTTAAACTAATGGAATGACTTATGGTGAGCTATAGCAATTGTCCCCCATCAACTGTGTTACCCATCAACTTGGTCAGCAACAATTAATGAGGTGAACATGGAATTTTAGACCCTAACGCATTCTGTGACTGTCTCACCATAACACATGTTCTTTTTTTATAACAAATTTGCGACAGTTGTTCCATATGGGATGTCTACTTCAGTATCCAATAGTCAATGGTATGATATTCTACTAAGAACCCTAAAAATATTTGTTGAGTAGTTGCAACAAACTAATGTAACAGTGTTTATCAGCTTGAACCACGTACTTGGTAACAGCTGATGCAATGGAGGGAGTTTGTTCATTGACTGGAACAGCTTGTGGACGAGTGTTGAAGTATTGTGCTAGAGCTGTGTCAATCTTCTCTGCCTGTGAAATGCAGGAGTAGATATTTTAATTTTGACTCTAGTGCTAGATAAAAATTAAAACTAACCTAGATTATGGTACATGTGATAAAAAAATAGTGATTGAGGATTAAATTCTTAAGATGGAGAGTAACGATTTATACTTTAAGCTTAACATAATACACAAGACAGTTCAAAAATAAATTTTAAAATAAAATTTTCAGTGTTTATATGACTCTACTAACTTCATAAATGTATTCTAGTAACTAGGCCTTAATCTTGATTTAATCTCAGCTGGGTTTCAGCTTCAGATTACCATTTGTAAAACAAATGATGGACTTTAAAAATATAAGTTAACACGTTGAACGCAGGCTCATCAAGGACCGGCCGCAGGACCACGCTCAGGCCGGCCCGGTCACCTGTGCCCGGCCGGCCCCGCTGAAATGAATCACCCAGTGTGGCGCAACCTTGAGGAATGGACTGGAGTTATTGCGTGTGCGTTGCTAGCGTTATATAACCTATACTGCGGTTGATTTGCCCGCCATTCCCACGGACCGATGCCGGTTTCCCGTGACTGGTAAATTCCCACTTGCACAGTTTAATGACTGTACATTTATTGACGTATTTCTTTTGTGTGTTTGCTTTTTATACGATACAACAATATATTTTATAGTTTATTATTTTAGTTTATGTGCCTTTTAGTTTTAATGAAGATGGACTCCCAAAAAACATTTTGCTATCAGCACTTCCATCCCATGATTCACTGTTATTGAAATAAAAAATGAGTGGGAGGGAGAAAGGGGGTGTATATGATTGTAAATATTAGGTATAAAATATTTAACATTTTTAGTGTGAAAAACACAAAAACAGTGTTTGGGAGACCAAAAATGGAGTATTTTCGTCAAGGTGCCAACAAACGTCATTGTGCGGGCCTGGTCACCAGTGACCGTGAGTTTTATTGAGAAAAACTGCTCAAAATACTATTTCCAAACTGGATCCTCACTTCTGGGAACAAAAAATAAGATTTAATGTTTAAAAAAAATCAGGTCCTGGGGAAGGACCCACTGATATATTTACCGCACTCATTGTGTTAAGCAGTCTTCATTGTCCATATTGTTAAAATAACACCATTTAACCAACCTGTTCTGTGGCCAATCGGAACACCTCTCTGTATTTTTCTATCTGTTCTGACAGAACGGTCTGTGCGTCCTTTTCACCATTACTAATTCTGTAAAGTAAATCATTTATATAAACTAACAGAAAACATTGATCACAAAAGGTTTCTAGCATTTATCACTTAATCTCATGATGAGAAATCATCTTTATACTAACTAGTGAATTATATATTTTTTTCTGCTAAATCCTATTGTGTGTATCTAAACTCAAGTGAATTTTCAAATGTTTTTACCAGATCTATATACCCAGATATCGTGGTACAAAGTAAATGTTGTACTCCAAAATTACGTTTTCTTACCTGACCAAGTCTGCCTCCAGCTCTGCTCGTAGGTAGGGCTTGCTCATGTTGAAGCCCATGTCATCATACCCGTCAACCAGACCTATACCCAGATGTCCAGGTACAAAGTAAATGTTGTTTTCCAAGCCGACATATGCACGAGATTTAATCTTGTCTATGTGTTCTGCGTGTGTTGCATCCGTTCCTGAGAAAAAATAAAGTACAACAAGTGTTCATTTTGAGATAGAGAATAATCAAAAGCAGTTGTTGCTGTAGCATGTAATGATAGCTTAGTTGGCTATAAAGTTAAGGCATAGATAAATCATACTCCCTTAGTAGATTTGCCATCCTTATGGAACAGCTGAAGCCAATTTCATTGTTAGTTCTGTACGTCCAACTGTAGAGGTTATGTTTTGTTTACAATTTGTTTCTTGTTATTTCAGTTATTTAAAACCTCATTTAACCAAATAAAACGATTTAATCATAAACAATAACTGGTTTCCTAGTTATATAACCAAATAGTAAAGCACAAACTATGAAAATAACACTAAAATAATAGAAACAAAATTTTGTCTACCCCAGCGATCAGTGTGGACGTACATGAACTAGACACAAAAAACAAGCTTCAAAATTTACAATGGGATGAGGAGTCTACTTGTGTTGCTTAGTCTATGGTTAAGGTAACCAGAGTAATTTAATAAAATAATCTAACATCTGAACAATAGGAACACGTATAACATTCAATCCTTCAAAAAATAATTTAGCCTTTTCTTGCATAAAAATCTGTAATTAAAAAAAAACTAGGTACTACAAGGAGTGCCAAAAGAATGTTCATTATTGATGCTGGAATATCTTGAACATTATATATACCTGCATGCAAACAAAAATTGAACTTAAGTTGCAAATACAATGTAGCAGGATTATTTACACATGTAAGCCCTACAAAATACAAAATGGATAGGCCCTGGACCTAGTCCTACCATGAAGACCTCAGTAGTACATTCTCTCAATTCAATTCAATTCAAACAATTTTATTCATGCAAATCTTAAATTAATTACAAAATTCCAAGTGCCACGAAAGCACGCGCGGAATGAAAAACATACATTTTTTTTAATACAATTTAGTTTCTTGTTGCTGGCAGCAAACAGTTCATTTTTCCTTCTTTATCACTTTTACAGAAAAGTGAGTAGACATTTACTCTTGTATCAGTTTTAATCATGTAATTAATACTTATGTAATAATTAAATAAATTAGAATAAATTTAATTAGAACATGCTTTTTTGAAAGACAATAAATTATACATGCAAATATAAATAGTTATTTATTTAAACAAATCTAAAAATAAGTTACAGATTATTTATGCTATATTGTGATTGACAGAAAACAACAAAGCTTTAGACTTTATTACAGACCTTTTACCATTATAAACTTCATTACCAAACATTTTTACAAACACATTAAAACATTTTGGACCAAGACAACAAAACAGAATGCCTACTAGTTTCCTTTTTAAAAACACTTTCTGCTAACAAGTGATATTTTGCTGATCGAGATATTCTATTGACAGGTTTCATACTAAACATATACTGATATTTAAAAACAAACATAATCAAACAGTATACATGCAATTGATTGAAGGTTAACAACTTTTCTTGTACTCAAAATTTTTCTCTATTGGGGAAATGTTCTCAATTATTGTAAACGTACCAATTCCGTGTTTATCCATGAGTGCAATGAGGTCTGCTTCAGTCAGCAGTTTGGGCGGACTGGTCTCTCCGTCAATCATGTCCAGTGATGTGGGCTGGAACGTCTGTCCCTGTGTGTAGTGATGCATGGCGCGGTCACTCCACGACTCATATGGATACACGTCCAGGTAGTTACGGGCAACTATCATGAGACCACAGCCTACAAACTGATCATCACAAACATTTCACTGCTACAAAGTATGTGATTATCTAGTTAGGTAAGGTAACACTACTGAGTTTAGTGGATGGCAGATATTTGTTTGGGTAGTTAACAAACAAACACACAAATCACAGACAAATAAACAACAATTTTTGTCAAGTTTCCACAGTCAGAGTGAAAAAAATAATATTTTCCTTTGGGAGAAGATCGTGTCATTGGAAGTGTATTGTGTTTGAGATCTTGTAGTCAATATATGAAATGTATCAAGTAGGGATGGTCAAGTCTTGAAATTTCGGGAAATTTTCAATCTCGTTACACGAGACAAGATTACTTTTTGGCCGAGATTTTTATCGAGACGAGAATAATAAAAAAAAAAAAAAAAAAAAAAAAAATTAAAAACGCCTGCAGAAAGTCAATGCAATACCCGCAATACAGGAGCGTGTTGTAGTTGCGTTTCCTTTTCAAAGGCGTTCTTATTTAATTAATTCTTTTAATGTAAATATTACTTTAATTCTTTTAATGTAAATATTACTTTCATTATTTTAATAATATTACTTTAATAACATTTGAGAAGTTTTGTTAAGTGTAAGCAGTGTGAGGAATGTTTTATTACTATAAAAAAAGTCAAAACAAGTAATTATTTTATAAAAATTAATATTGCTTTTATTTTATGATTTATTTTATTTTAGGATAAGTTGAACTCTATCCTAACTGATATCACCATGTTTCCTAATCGTAGGCATTTTTAATAAGTTAGGAGAGATTAATAAAAAAATGTTATGCTGATGTTTAATGAAAGATTGTAAATATTCTTGCCTATTATTATTATTTTAGTATTTAAACAGTCATCTAACAATGTTACAAAATCAGGTAAAAATTTCGAACGTGCATTTCCCGTTGTGTATGAGAAGAGAAATCTCGTCTCGAAATTTTATGAGAAATAAAAAATCTCGTCTCGTCTCGTCTCGAACTAAAAATCCAATCTCGTCCATCCCTAGTATCAAGTAGAATTTGCACTTTTAACAAAAGATAAAAATTGTAGCCCTACCTCCCTCAGAAAAATATTAACTGGGTTCAGTACTTAAACACTATCGATGAATTTGAGAAGGGGAAAATAAAATATCCATATAAAATAACTGTGGCAATTAGCATGCCGAAATTGAAACAATCTCCCAAAATCAGTAAGTATTGTCATAGTACAGTTGCATAACTAGTTTAACATTCATAAGACTGTACTATATTTAGGAATTAAAGGTACAGTAGCAGGTTAACTAATGTAAACCCCAGAATACTTTGCCTGATACACAGATCAAATTTCTACTGACCTTTTCACCATTAACATCAATGTTGACAATAGTTTCATGTCCTTGGGCATCCTTTGAAACACATGCCAGAAAATGTCTAACAACAAACTCATACACTTTGGCCTCTGTACCTGTGGATAAAATAGTATGTACAACCAGCAGAAAACAACTAGAATGGAAAACTTCAGTAAGGTACCATCAGGGACCAGTGACTATGACAGAAAAAAATTGAACTAACAAATTTCTATGTAAGGGAAAATTCAACTTAAAGCTCTTGGTTTATTTTTGGAAAGATATGAAGTTGAATCAATTAAAGCCTGTAATAGCTAGATATATCTTAAATGTCAAACATATAACTTTTTTTGTTTTAGTTTAAAATAATTACAACTTATTGAATTATGTAGGCCTAAAACTCAACAAATAGTTTGATGTAGGTTATATCAAACTATTTAACTTATTAAATTCAAAGAAAGGAAACCTACTTTTAAAACCAAAGTGAACTCCCTAAACTAGAAATAGCAGAGAAATTGTAAAAACTCTTCATAATGTAGAGCTATTTAAAATAAACCTCCATATGCTGGGGCACACCTTATTAAAGAATCATTTAATCATTAAAAGATGAACCAAACTACAAAAAAAATTACAGAACTAGAAAAACTACAGAAAAAAGGTTTTATACAAACAGTTTTGTTTGCCTTTATTGCTTAACTTTTGATTTATTTTTTGATTAGGCTAATTGTAATTTATTTTCATTTAATTTTAATGCCCACAAAACCTTACAGTATTAGATAAAAATGGTTCTGAGGCTTTTAACAACAACTATTCCTTGGTTGTGTAGTTTTTGTAAATGGTGTTTAGGATGAGGATTGTTTTAAATGAAATGAACTATACCTTGAAGGTCGTGGGCCGCTTTTGTCGGATGTATGGGAGGATGGGCTTGGTCAGTCTTGCGTCCCTGTCTGGGGTTCGGCCCATCAGTCAACACTCTCTGAGCAAATTCTGCAAAACAAACCAGGTGTTATCACAAAGCCATTGATAGAGGTCCACTTAAGACCAGCCATGCCCAATATTCTCATTAAAAAACTAGATAATATAATACTATGCTATGTTTTTAATAATTAGATTATGATGTCACCTAAATCAATTTAATAATTACCAAAATGAATGGTTTGAAAGAACTATGATCCATTGCACGAGGCTTAAGGTCTCATTAACACGTTCACTGCTGAAAACCTTTACGCAGGCGCTCCTAAAGAGAGCCTTCAGAGGCCCGGGCGAAGCCCCGGCACGCTAACTGAATCAGCGATCGCTATTGGCATTGAAATATCTCAGTAAGATGAATCACAAAAGAGCATTGTTCTGAGTTACCCCGAAAGTGGACGTAGTTCACTGAAACACCCAAAGGTAGAAGCACTGAATGGATCAATAAACAGAGTCTTTGTAATATGGCTCGAATAGAGAAAATCCCCGAAAGCGGGACAAAATCATTGTCAGGCGGGATTTTACGGGAATGTTTAGTACCAACCAAGACCAAAATAAAGTTCACATTCTAAGCTACAGGCTGGCAACAATTACAACGTTCCCCGGCAATGGCTGAGCTTACATTAAAGCAAAGTTGTTGGCATTGGTGAAGAAAGACATTTTCCGCCCCGCACCAGTGGCGCCGATACCGCGGGACGAGAATTCCCGCCCCTCACACTGAACATGTTAAGTCAACAGATTACGGGTTACTGTACCCAATGAATGAGACTACAAAATTGTACTTATATTAAATTTTGTTATTTTAAATCTTGTGCAACGGATCTTTAATTGAAAGCATGCATAGAAGAAGACTAAGACTATATTCATTTGAATTGTTTTTTTTATTAGATTTTTTACTGGCCACTAATCTAATTTCTGTACACTATGTACAGTTATGTGTTTCTTGTGCCGAATTTGATTCATTCCAATTCAGATAAACCTACTTTACTCACATGTTACTGTTTGTGATTAAATGAACCTTCTAACAGCAGCAGTACACCACAGCTTACCTCCCCATCGTCTGTCCTCTGCCTGTAGTTGCACTAGGTTGCGCAGGTTGAGTTCTTTGGGAAAGATGTTGGTCTCCGTACGAGGGTAACTGATAAACCCCTTGGTGTAGAGCTTCTCTGCAACTGCCATCGCGTCTTTAACATTGATCCGCAGCTTGCGCGATGCCAACTTCTCAAACTCCTGCACAGCTCTTCTCGTTAGTGACGTTAAAATCTTTACTAGTAAATTATTTTCAGTTGTGTGTATTACCAAACAAAATTACACAAAAATAATGGTGTCAATGTTTAAATATTAATTAATGTTTTTGTTTAGTTTTTTTTTCCTTTTTCCCAAAATTCAAGGAGTTTCATAGAACCACTTTTGAGAAGGAACAAGGCACAGTTGTGTATTCAGCATTGTTTCACCATCTGAACCACAAGTTAATATATCGGCAGTCTATAGTAGCAACTACACTTTCATTTACAACTATATTAGTAAACAACTTGACAAAAACTAGAGATAACTCAGTTACATCACCTTATCTAACTTCACTTACCACTGTGTCTAGAGGTAGTGGCCTCCATTTACTCTTTGGTTTGGAAACAACGGATTCCACCAGGGCTAGGGGCTTCTCTAAACACTTTTCATATATACCTCGAACAACTTCTTCATCAAACAGTCGGACTCGGCTCCATGTAAAGTCTACCTTGACATCATCAACATCATGACTCACTGAAATACAGACAATAATTCTATAGTTGTACATTTTATTCAATTAGCCTATTCACGAGGTTTTTGAGGGTGCAATTTCAGCTTTTGGCACCTTGGAAGGATTTAAATACTTAATTCCACTTCCCAAGAGTTTTTAGATAATGGTCAAGATACTATGTCATTATACTTTTAAATTAATATTTAACTGTTTTTCAGCTCTATTAGGAGAGTAGGTGGCTCAGTCAGTAGCTTAACTGACTATGAAACTAAGGTAAGTGATGTCTTTGATTTGCATCACATAGCCGCTACATATATCTGTGGTTAATTCTTGAACCCTAAGTTACCGCCTCACCCCTAGCATTAACGCGCTATCCCCAACTCCCTAGACTCTTGTCCTCCCGTCCTTGATCTTCCAGCCGTCGTTAAAGGTGCAGCAGAATTTTCCGGCCCTTCACCGTCTATTATGGATAAGTCTTTTACCATAACTATTTAGGACTAAAACTAGAAGTAATGTCTGGCTAAGTTCAGGAAACAAGCGGGGAGTCCTTCTGGCTCACCCGACTATTGAAATGAGGTAAATTAACTCTTAGCTGAGATGGCTGCCTTCAGCAGCCATCCTTATCAAACCTGAAAGTTGCAGTCACATGTTCCCAGAATGTAGGTTATTAGTTATCAATCAAATTCTTACATTTTCACATTCAGTATTCAATTTACGTACTATTCCATTCACCTTGCAATATTTCTAAGTAGGGGTAACTATCCATGTTCAGTCCATAGTTTGGAAGGATAGGTCTACAGTTAAATATTTAGTTAAGTTAGTGTAAATCAAAGCTGGCTAGGCAGGTGTTCTGATTTGGGTAAAGATCTCCGTCCCTCTGGTCCCCAGCAATCTTCCTAATTTTATTGGTAGCAGATTCAGCATGCTTAAGTTAAGTTTGGTCCAGACACAGCAATTCCAACCCTATTAGCATTACCTTCTTATTCCCTCCGATTTCCCGAATTCCCGCCAATATCCCATAACCACATATATATCGCCCCCGAACCCGAAATAGCAAACAATAGTCTTCCTTCTTCTCCTCCCCCCCGGCTACATGGATAGTAGATATGTTCTTTGCATGGGCCTGAGATACAAGTGTACGGGCAAAGTCATGGTTAAAAGAAGTTGCCAACTGTATGTTTATTTATCAATCTCAAAGTTAATATATCTGTTCTTACCTTTAATTTTCCAAAACTGTTCTGGTATGAAGCGTTCTATTGCCTTGTATCTCTCCACAACAAACCCCAGGGTTGGGAACTGGAATGAAATAGGCTCTTAGTGAATAAGATTGACGTTAGCCTTATAACTTCTTGTAGTTCAATACTTATTTGGTATAAGATCAAACTATCCACTGGTCATACAGTGTATTCAGAGTGCTAGGAATAGAATCCAAATGTTGTAATTCAATTGTAAGGATTGATTCAAGACCAAGATGTTATTTGTTAATGTGCTACTGATTAAACTTTCTATTTCTAACAATGACTTGACATTAAACTGTTGCAATAAATAAAACTGCAAGATGAATTTGTTGTTGTCTATTGAATTCCTCACCTGACAGCTTCCATAGCTGATTACGTTGTTGGCCAGCATATCTGGGAACACCCTCTGTAGCCTCAAAGTCTGGAAGCGAGTGAACGCAGCCCCTGTGACAGATCCATTCTGACATTAAGTGAATCACAAAAATAAATAAAAACAACGGGCAGGTCTTTAATCGAAGTAGGAACGGAACTGCCTTTGTTAGTTATTCAAGTCTGTCCATGATATGGAGCTAAAATTAGAATTGGAAAATAACTATAATTTCTTACAGGTTCATGAAAATTCAGTTATCTAATTTGATCCAGCATTCTTATATGTTTTTTACAGATAGGATTTTTGTTTTAGCTCTTCTACATTAAATGTGACTAATTCATGTCAACTGGCATACCAGTAAGTTGATTAGGCCTGTACTTGCACAATTAAAATGTGAAGGCACAAACTCATTTTGTATTCTCATACATACCTATCCTGAGATCCAACTCTTGTCGCACGTTGACAGCCTGGTTGATCAGATCGTTGGGTTGCACAAGGTTGTCGAGTGCTCGTCTCGCCGACACTGCTGTGATCTCGGAAAACTTGGCTCTGTAACAGAAAATTAATATTGAAGCAGTTAAAACTGTTGTAGGAAATTCCCCAATGGGTTTATTCCATCACAAAACCTCTAGTAAATAGTATTCCAATATTAAAAAGCTTCTAAAACTCTAATAAAAAGACCTCTAGAGTTTAAATCCTATTTACCTACAGTAGAAACTCGACAGCAAGTTTCTCTTGGTGACTATCAAATAAGACCACTGGTAGACTTCTTATTTCGTTTACAAAAACATGTGATTGGGAGTAACACAAAATCAAGGGTATTTGAGAATGACACTTGTTATCAAAATCGTGATCATCTCCCGTGAGCCGAAATCACGGTGATATCATCATCGTAACCTCCATAGCGGCAAATCGTGAATATCTCCCGTTGGTCGCAATCACGGGGACATTATCATCGACACCCGCCACCGCGGCAAAATCGTGAATATCTCCCGTGGGCCGCAATCACGGGGACATCATAAGTAACCCACAATCTCAGCAATTTGATAATTTAAAAAAATAATTTTTTTGCTCTGAAAAATAAATTGTCAAGCCTTTGCGGCCCCCTTTTGCTTGCGGCCCTAGGCCATGGCCTAATGGTAAATCCGGCACTGAGTGTAATTATTGGGAATAGGTATAGTTAGCACTTAGCTTATACAGGTAGGTTTCTCCAGGCGTTACATGCCTGGTTTCCTTGATTTTGCATAGTACGTAATTGATTAGGAAGTGTTGTACAACATCAAAATTATAAATTTTGAGCTGTCTCACAACGTTTTTATGTAAGATATTCGATCGTTGCACGACGTCCAAATCTGAACATGTCCAAAAGTACAGTAACTGCAAGAAACATAGTCTTTTGACAAGTTTTGGACGTCATGGGATTGGCCATCGTGCAACAGCGCACTTTGTATTTTTAAAAGCTCCTGCATTCGGAGCAAGGTTAGGTTAGGTTGAGTTAGGTTAGTATGCACTGCAGATGGTAAAACAGTACTCTCAGTGTGCACACGCTCTGGACGTCATGGGACGACCAATCTCACGACGTCTTAAGCTTGTGGAATACTATGTTTATTGCAGTTACTGTACTTTTGGACATGGTGAGATTTGGACATGGTGCAACAGTCAAATATTTTATATTGGGCATCGTGCAACAGTCAAATATTTTATGAAACAGCTCAAAAATTATATTTTGGACGTTATGACACACTGTCTTATCATTGGAGGTCGTGGCACTTGGACTTCGTGCAATGCATCCGATTGGTTATTGCATAAAGTTTGTATTTAAGCAAAACTGCAAAATACTGCAACGTACTCACTGTGTATAGCAAAGACAGCGGTAAATTTTATTTTACATATTTTTCACAGTTTACCTTTTGTCACAAATTTACATAGGTAGGCTACCGGTATTTAGACTGTAGATCTACAAACAAGGCAAAAAATTGCACTCCAACAAAAAATAATATTTATCATTACCTACCTGAACACTTGGATGTTGGGTTTAATGGCTCGGCAGACAGAGATAATCTCAAACCCAATATTCTCTCCTTCTCTGTCACAATCTGTCCAGATGATCAAAGTATTGCAAGACCTCACTTCACGCTCCAACGTCCTCTAAGACAAAACACAAATGAAAAACCAGTCGGTTTGGCTGTAAATTACTATTTCCAACTAAAATAAGCCTTCCCAGTAAAATGTAACAATAAATCTGCCCGAATGCAGCTAGAGGTGTGTAATATATTGATAAATTCAAACTGGCCTTGATACAACTTTTTACAACTAACCTTTATAGGCTCATAGTCTGGAGGGCAATATTTGCTCACAGGTGCATCAAACAGCTCAGATGGCTGGCATGTATTCCACTTCTTGTAGTTACCAACAAACTCGTAGTTCAAGAGATGACCGGACACAGAAGTCATCACCATTTTGCGTGTCTGTCCTCTCAAGGAATAAGAAAACTCGTAGATCTTGTTGAATTTGGAGAAGCCTTCTCTCTGGAAATTAAGATTTTTAAAAATTGTCAAAGGGTAATTACATTGCATATATAATACTAGCAAACATCTTAACTATGAATGTTAAGGCACACCGCTGGGAGTGCCATGTAGTTACGGCGTACGTGCTGTGTAACTACACGGCGCTCCCAGCAGTGTGCGCCAGAACCTATGGTAACCAAGGTAACGGCAGAACGGCTGACAGTCTATGTTTAATTCTTGTTGTCTATGGTATTACAAACTAACAAAGTTTTTATTTACACTATTGTCTCTCATGTATTTGGTAACAATACCTACCTAACTTGGAGGGCTTAAGCTATTTGTCTTTTCTTGCATATTTTACCGTGTCATATGGATATATAATTTTCCTCAAACTTCAAAACAATACAATGTTCTTTAATTAAGATTTCTTTATCAATCCACACAAAAAAGAGCTGCAGTGTTCTTAGTAATATGAATCAAGATTGGAATTAAATAATTATTTGAAAAAATCAGTAGATTAAAAGGCATTAGGAAAAATTACCTCACTTTCTTTCAGTGAATATATTCTATCCTACAGATGTTATCTGAAACCAGTTTAAGCCCATTCCACATACCCTTATTTTTCTTTTGAAGCCTTTATCAATGTAACATTTTTAACTCTAGCTGTTACAATCAAAAAGGCCTAAAATGATTTTGACCTTTTGGGCCCCAGTGGCCAATTAGATCAGCCATCAAGAGCAACACAACTAAACTTCCACCTACAACATTTTATCCTTGGTGTATCTTAGGAAAGACTAAGGCTAAAAGCCATGACATATAATGAAACCTAGGAGTCGGGTTAGTAACAGGTTCTCTTGGGCTATCGGTTCAACATGATTATTAGTGCAGTAGGTCGTTCGCGCTAATCTATTGCCAAGGGTTCTAATCATTGTCTCTGGCCAGGAGGCAGCACTGTTTACTTGAGGAGTTTGGATCCCGTCTTGGTTGAGACTAGTGTGTAACTCTTGAGGAGTTAACCTATCTGTGCCAGAGCTCAGTAAGAGAGGCCCACCTTGTGAACGGCTAGAGTGTAAGTCGACAGGATGGATGGATTCTTTGTGGGGAAAGCATTTGACCTAGCCTTACAGAGGGTAGGGTACAAAAAAAATTATTTATAATAGGGATTAGCATCGATAGCCAATGCTTGCCAAAACAAAAATTTTATGTTTTTCTTTCAATGTTCAATTTTTTACATTCGTGGTAAGTTTAGGTTCCCTACAAATGTTTTTGTTACATCGATATTTTTGGTCAACTATTGAAATATCGATGTTTTTCCATAAACTTAACTGAATTGTATTTAAGTTAGTTGTTGATAAAGATTTTAATGTTATTTAAGAAGAAATTATTTTTTTTTTTATTTAGGCCTAGACCTTTTTAACTATATTACATTAATAAGGTAAAAAGATAGGCCTATTGCCAAATGGACTAGACTGAGACAAGAGTAGGGAGAGTGAGATAACTATCTAAGTTAACTTTACATTGTTAAAGTGCTTGTTTCCTGTGAAAATCAATTGATTTCTTACTTGGTAGGTCTACCTAAATCTCAGCGGCAGCATTCCTCCTATAACTTAACATAATCAAATGCTTAAGACCAATATTTTGGCTTACAAATGTGAAAGAGAAACTGCCAATTTAGAAGCTGAGACAGAAAGCAGACAAAAAAACTCAAAGTAGGCTTAAAAACATTTGATTAAGATTGGCCTATCGATGTTACCATCGCTGGTTACCCCATCGAAGCTCGTCCCTAAATAATGAACAGGGGTACAGGGGTATGTAGTTGTAGTATAATTCTCTGGGCACATGATTCACTTGAAAAAATGTTTTTTAACGTAGGCTATGTTTTTTTTAAATCTAGCACATATTATTATGGTCAGTTTGTGAAAAAACCCCATCTTCTCAGCTTCTAGAACTGTTAATAATATTCCACTTGCCCTACCAAACTTGCCCTTGGGGCAAGTGTAACCACGGTTGGAAATTTTAAGATGTAAGAAATTTTAAGCGATATTCTGAATCTACATGCAAACAATAGTTAGTAGGCATCACGGCAAGTTACCCAAAATATTGTTACATTTATACAACTTTAAAAATGTAAATAAATATAAAAAAATTTTCAAAGTTTGACCTTTGAATTTAGGGAAGGATACATCAGATGGTCGTATGTAGGCCTACTGTAAGCTTTTTTTCAAAATTCAAAAAGTACATTTTATTATAGCCTATGTTAAGGCCTATGTGGCGTTTTAAGGTTAAGAACCTTACAACCAAACAAGGTCCAGAGAACACAATATGATGGCAATTAAGCTGAAACTTCTCTTAACAGTTGATTGATTTAAGCTTAGCCTAATTACACTTGCCCCCTGGTTCCACTTACCCCACTTCACCCTCCTTAGCTAGACTTATTATCAAGGATAAGGATTCTTGTTAGGTACACTTATTTATGTTTGGGCTAGGTCTGCGGGACACTTATGAAACTGCAGCCAGGAATACAATTAACTTACAAAACCTTAAGGTCAAGACGTATTGGGCTTGTCGATAACTTAAAACCTAAAAGCGGAAACTTAACTCACCCTTTGGGAATTACCATTGGATAGGTAACCAGCGAGGTGTTTGGCAACATCATTTTTCTCAGCTACATTCAAAACACTCATTTTATCATCAGAAGTGGTTTCAAGATTAGGCCTATGACTTCTTATAACACTACTGGAAAACTGCACATTTCCCAAAAAAAATAAAGAAACCCAATTGTTATAAATACATCTCACTGGGCTTAGGCTTAACTCAACTTTAAGTTTGAAAGAAAGCATCTAAACCTAAGTGAATGGAATTACTTAAATTAGAGAGGATTTATTAGGACTTTTGTAAATAGACTAAACTCCCTGGAAGAATGAAAACATTTATGGTCAAGTTCATTCTCAATCTCAACCGCAACATATACGAGCTTAGATTCGATTAAACTTTTTAAACATCTGAAGATTGTGAAAGAAAACCACTTTTTGTCTAAACTATAACATAATTAACCTAAAATAAAATTGAAATAAAATAACAACAACAACAAACAGGATTCAAGATGTGAAGTGTACCGCTTTTAAAATGATGACATATAAGTAAAAAACAGCTGTTAAAGAAAAGTACTCGATCAAATCCGGTGCCAGTGGTGGAATGAATACGGACCATTGATTATAGGACAATACGGTGAAACATTGATTAAATGACTACCACAATCCCAGTGGTTGAAGCGTGGAGCGTAGGCCATATCCATAGATTAAGATTTAAGACTAACATTCCTCAGGGATTCCTCCTTAAAAGGTGAGTTAATTTTAAAATATACCAATTTTACTTTTTAGGGGTCCCATATATGACTCTGAGGCTTGTTATTTTATAACACAGGCCCTCATTCATTTGTTATATCAATTGACAAAGGAGATTGTTAAGGAAGCAGCTTTTATATGAATAGAAAATTGAAAACTTTTGGTAAGTCCATCAGAAATCCACCACCCTCCCGACTCCTGAACAGCTTCCTATATTCTTTGTTTCTACATTGTCTAGGGCTATGACGTCCTCTGACTCAGCATGAAAACCTGGCTTGGCTGCAATAATGGAAAAATTTGCGCAAGGATCCTTAATTTACCTACCAACACACTTGGATGTTTTAGCGAATTCCCCTTACAGGGAAGTAGTTACTGTATTGCGGTATGTGGCATGGTAAGACATAGACCCAGGACCGATTTACTTGACCTTTTTGATGTCTCCAGAGAGAGGCCAAAACACTATTCGATCAAATTAATTTATTATTATGTAATATACACGTCCGTAAATGCGATAACTCTTGTAATTTTGGTCCAATTTTAATTAAATTTCGTTTGAAGGTGTAAGCATGGAAAAAATTGAGTTTGGGAACCACCATCAAGATCTGGCCTTAGAAACTATGGGGTATTAACATTTTTTTTTATTTTTATTTTTACCCTCAAAATATGAAAATGACAAATTTTCATCTGGCTGTATTAGGCTACAGCCATCTTGAAGAGCTTAAAAAAATCAAATCAAAATGCCTTATTTATTCTTGAGCGCTTCCCAAAACAATTTGAGAAACGTAAGTGATGTGGTTGGAGAAGGTATAAGACCACCATCAAGAACCACGCCAAAAGTTCTCACAGTGTCACAAACCTTAAGCTTTTTATTGTCAAGTTGAATATGCACTTCACCATCGCAGATTTCTTGGATTGCGATGGGTGGTGATCCAATGTGGATCACTGTGCATTTTTCAACTTTCAACTTAAGGCCGTGCTTCCTTGACCACTCACTTATTCTCTCAAGACCCATGTTTGCATCCTCAAAGGCGCTGTTGAATGAGCCGATTGGGAAAAATGCAACTATGGCAGTCATCTGCATATGCATGCACATTACAGTGACGTATACACGTGGTAAGGTCGGCTGTGTAGAGTCAGATTAGAGTGTAGAAAATAGATTTGTAGAGTGTAAATAAGATGGGTCCCAGACAACTCCCCTGTGGGACTCCCCCCTTCGAGGTGTCTACACCCATCCTGGTTACCTGGGAATAACTTTTGTATCTTAAAGCCAGGTAACTTTTGTATCTTTAGTATCTTAAAGCGTAATATAAAATTAAACTTTATGGAGAAAAAAGATACCCATGTCATTGTTATGGAGAAAAAGAAAACTACTATATTTAGCTTGTTTATGGATGATGGATGCGTGTTGATCAAATTTATTAATTTAACCCTATACTATTAATATTAACATTTGATGAGAAAAATCCTCCGCCACAGCAGGCCTTCAGACTAAGCAAATTTCCATTTACAAGTATTGGATTTTAAATTAAATCTATTTTTAACAGTGGGTTTAACAAGTAAACAAGTACCTAGGTTTGCTGCTTCAGGGAGTGTAATAAAGTGGGTTTTTTTTGTAAAATATGAATAGCTTAGTATTAAATAAATGAATTTGCCAAGTTTGATCAAAATATATCCATAAAACAAGCAAACTACAACATTTCACTTGACACTATTATTCTCTTAAGAACATGGGATATTAATTTACTATTTTTATTCAATTTTATCCATAACCAACAACCGCACAAAAACACTCCAATATACTAAATTATTTGTTTTTTTCAAACTCTTTGAAATGGTGTAAAGAGAAATTTTATGTTTTGAGGGTCAAAATGAGAAAACACAATTTTTAACCCACAAAACCCTTTATAACACGCCGTTCCCAAAGTTTGATCATGCTGCTTCACAAACTCATTCAATACTGCCCTACACCTTCAAGCCAAATTTCATCAAAATCAGACAAAAATTAATCAAGTTATCGAGTTCACAGACGTATATATACGTTAAATACAAATTTGAACGAATAGTGTTTTTGGCCTCTAGGGACATCAAAATGAAAAAAAGATATCGGTCCCGAGCCTAGGTCTTACTGTGCTACCTACAGTAATAGCTATTTCCCTATAGGGAAATCCGCTAAAACCACTTTTTACCTTCCCTTTTGCAGCAAACCTAAGTATTCCTTAAATCTAATGTTATTTAAATGGGAAATTTAGTTTGCAGGTTTAGTGTGTCGGGGGTATTTTTCATTGAAATTGGGTCGTAATGAGGATAAATGAGCAGACTCGTGACTTGTACTATAAATATACCACACCACCAATTTATTTGACACTTCATGTAGAAGCATGTTTAAGAACATATAGGCGGTAGGCCAGGGTGGTACGGGGGGCATTTGCCTCCCCCCCCAACTTAAAAAAATTTTTAATTTTATAGCCCACCAACAATAAAAATCCAAATAAAAATTAATTTATTCTAGCCTACTTTCTAAAGTGGTTACCCTACTCACAAGTTATTTATACCAAGTATTACGGGGTATTTTATACCCACCCTGTAGGATGGTGTACTAGTTGTACCCCTCCCCAAAATCTGAGTCTCGTGGCGCCTCTGTACTACCATAGATAAAAGTAGTATAGATAAAAGGAGTATGTCTACTTCTTTTAATCTACGGTACTAATGTCAGACTACATAGTTTATGTTCAACTAAAAATTCCCATGAAATAGCACCTTTCTCAAGAATACCACACCAACACACATGTCCTTATTAGCCTTATTTTAGGAATTTTATTGGAGAAAAAAGATATTATTTTTAAGGAATATAATGGAGAAAGTGAAAGGGATTATTTGTTTCATGTAGCGATTGAACAAGCTAATTTTCTCTGAGTAGATGTCGACCATCCAATACTTTTTTTAATGAGCCATTATTAACTAAAAAAATATTGTGTTAAAAGTTATTTTAAATGACCGTGAATATATGCTTTACAAACTACTCTTGATTCAATGATAAAACTGAGACAAATGATAAAATGCCTGATGTACTTGTGCAAGCAACTACTTCTAGATTACATTTTTAAGTACCTATCTCTTTGTTGAGAGTTTTATTTATAAAAACGTGACAGATTCATGAACTTTGAGATTGTTATTCTTAGATCTTGATAGTAGATACTTACCTCTTTGAAGAGTACAAGTTCTGATTACAGGTTGGTATTGTAAATTTCTTAAACATTGATTTTCATCTTTAAACATTTTAAAATTGCCATTCAATAAAAAAAGTCATTAATATAATTAAAGAACATAAATATTGCTTGACAATATGTTTAAAGTAACTAAAGTATCCAAAGTCTGATATTAATTTGGAAACTAAGATTCAATAGTTCAGAAACCTTTTACCTTAGTTTTGCTCATGTATACACTTTGCCTTTCACTACATAGTACATTGTACAAGAAATATTCAAATTATTATACTATTCGTTTTGTGGTTAAGATGAACTTCATTCCTAAAAATTAGCCCATATCCTCTGTTAAATTTAAGACAGGCTTTCAACAGGAGTGATATTCACAAATAAAATAATTTAAAATATATCATTTAGGTATATCTGTGAATGTCCTTAGGATTTTTTATAAGATTCTGCCTTATAACAAAACTTGGTCCCATTCTATAGCTATTAAGTACACATTTTTATTTTTAGAAATACATCAAGCTCAAATTTGCAAGTACGTTTAGTTTAATTTTAAACTGTGGGATAGATAACAGCATGATCTAAAATTTGTGTTAGTTCCTTATTAGTCTCAAAATTCCTAAAACTTAATATTCTATTATTTGAAAATATTTACATAAATATTTATGCACTCATAATCATTATGACTCGATTATTACCAACCAACAAAACGATTAGTGTGGTGAGGAGATTCATACAAAGTAAACTAGTCAACAATAGAATCTGTTTATTGCAGAAAACAATTAAAATTAAGAATCATAAAGTCGGCTCAGTTTAAAAAAAAATCAAAAATGCTAAAACTAAAACTGTCACAAAAAGCACCACATTTGCATTGTCACTGTACAAAAACATTAAATGTAAAAAATACATCTTAATAAGACTGTAAAAAATGAACAATGTTAATTATTTAACACAAGTAATTCAGTAATAACAATCTAAAAATATAATACTGTTAATGGATCTGTTAAACAAACTTTTCATTGAAATCTTCAGAATTCAAAAACTGGACAAGTTTCTAAGATGTATAAAAGTTCTTGTACCTCAGGGCTGTGTAAAAAACTTAAAACCTTCTCTCCATAGAATGCCAACATAACCAGAATCTTCTCCCTCTTCTTGAGATACTTCTTGGCTCTGACACATTTTCTTCTGAAACTGCCGACCTTTTCAGGTGTTTTATTCCCCATTTTGTGATAGTCTAGAGGCGATGTTTCAGATGAACAATCAGTAGTAGTTAATAGGATCAAATTTGATGGTAAAACACTGTTTGACTCATTAATGTCTTTGGATATGAAATGTTTTAAAGAATTCATTAATTAAAAATGTAAACACGGTCAAGCGGCATGTAAACTATCCAGGTAAACCACAACACTTCTGAACTGCGCACATTTGACGTTCAGCAGTAAAAAATCCGCCATTGACCGTGACCGTAAAAGTGTAAACTTACTACTACTAGGAAATAAACACATGAAGTGATCGGGGTGACGTGTATTTATAATATTTTAATTAATTAGGAATTAAAGGATAACTGATACAGAATTATGCAATAGGAGTCGTTGCTACCAGGGTATCTCTAGACAATTAATCCGTTAAGTAAGACACCAGCTTAACCGATTAAAATGTAGAAAAATATTTTCTATCACAATATCTGATTGTGATACAGTCATGCTGTCAAAGTGAAAGATTAATTTAATCATAGTCGTATTATATTTGTTCTCATATCCTCATTAATTGTATTGTAACTTTTGAAATAATATTAAATACACCCCCGTTGCAGCAGGGGTTTGACCCTCAAATCAAAATTTCCAAATTTCTCTTAAGACCTTTTTAAAGAGCTAAAAAACAAACAATTTAGTATATCAAAGTGTTTTTGTACGGTTATTGGTAACAGGGAAAATTCTAAAATTTGGTTGTGTTATTGTTGTTAAATTTGAAATTCCCATGTTATTCTTATGGAGAATATTGTAAAGTTTTGTAGTTTGCTTGTTCATGGATATATTTTGATCAAATATGTCAAATTTAATTATTTTATACTAAAGCTATTCATATTTTACTAAAAACCTCACTTTAAATTATTAGTTTCCTTGTAGCAGCCAACCTAGGTACTCGTTAAACCTAATGTTTACAATAGATTTAATTCATAATAAATTCAGACAAATGCTTAGGCTACAGGTTTGCTGCAGCGGGGGTATTGTTTTAACATGATGGGCTTACTTGAGGAAAACTGAATTTTAAATATTAGCCTTCTTAAAGTAAGCAATGAATTACTTTGAATGAAAATCACACACGTTAACAAAGTTTACTGTTTACATACATATAAACAGCGTATCATGTATCATCACCCCGGTTTCTTTGAATAATCAATTGTTGATTTTATGATATGTTTGAAAGCCATCAAGATCATCAAGGACGACTAGGAAGCTCAACTGTTAGCCAAAACTTGACTACTGGATCTTCACTTCCCGATTCATTATAAAAATTATTAACGTGAGACACATAAGTTGTAGTTTAAACGCCGGAATGTGAATGTTAATATAAATTTTGTAATTATATTATATTTTGAAATGTTTACATTCATTAAAATGAAACAGTTGTAGTTGTAGTTGAAGTCAAACTACAATTCTTAAAGTCAATCTATAAATTTGATATTATAAAAAAACATTTAAAATTGTTATATGTTGGTTTTTTGTTTTGAGGTCCCTAGAGGCCAAAAATATACGTATATGTGTGTCCGTTAGCGCGATAACTTAAGCAAAAATGATCCAATTTTGATTAAATTTGGTAGAAACGTGTAAAACTACATTTGTTCAAACGAGTTCGCGAACCAGCGTGATCTGACTATGGGAACATTTATGGAGGGTTTTGTGGGGTAAAAATTGGTTTTTCCCATTTTTGACTCTAAAAAAATAAAATTTCACAATTTCTTTCCAGACCATTTTGTAGAGCTTCCAAAAAGAAATAATTTTGTATATTGAAGCGTTGTTGTATGCCTTACGGTTACAGAGATTATTTTCCCTGTAGCATCAAACCTAGGTACCGTACTCATTAAAATTAATGTTATTTAAATAGGAAATAAATCTGACAATTTTCAGGGTATATTTTAGTAGAAATCCAGCCAGGTAAATGGAAATTGGCTTAGTCTGCATGTTTGCTGCGGCGGGGGGTATTTTAGTAGTTATGACGACGGTCTCAGATTTAAGAGAATGCCATGGATTTTGTGTTTTCACTTCTATAGCCTACTCACCATCACTTAATTAACACCATAACGTACCCTATAACAATAAAATATGAACCCTGATGACTTCACTTAATTTTGTGGATGCCTCTGCGAACGCTATCTAGTTACTGCATACTTCTTGATATACAGTGAAATTACAGTATTAGTGAGAACTCAATGAGAGACTTGAGACTTGCATTTTGCAGTTGGCAACCCTCATACACTGTTCTATCAGCTGTTTCTACTTTCCTCTCCTGTTTATTTTGTTGTTGTTTGTGATTGTGTATGGCTCGGGGTTGTTTATTTCTACTTTTAAAGTTGTGAAAGTAAATTCTAAATTATATATTACTAAGTTTGCATGGAGATCGGTCCCTATCATTCTGAAAACAATTTTTTTTAATTCTATCAATCTTTTAATAAGTAATTGTGGACAATTATATATTTTTATACTTAAGTTGTATTAAGTTAACTCTTTAACTCAAATTATGTATATACAGTATATAAGTTATTTTTTAAAATAATACTACTTCAAGATAAACTCACAAATTTGGATGCATAATAATAATAATAATAATTACTTAGGTATAACATTTTAAATGGTTTCAAGCAACTTAACCCCACTGCTTAAGCCACAACAGACAACTACCTGTACCTAAATGTTCTTCACTACTTCACTATTCTATACAGGCTGCAATAATTTTTCTAATTTATCAACAAAAAAGTAGTTATAGACTAGTTTATTATCATCTATTTAATCAGTAGTTTGTCTGCTAATTCCTATCTTAAGGCCTGATGCTGATGCTATAGGCTAGTGAAGGCCTACCCAGGAAATAAATATCAAGGAAAATTATTTTAAATTTGGTAAGTACCAATGAACAAGATAAACCCTCAAAAAATAAATTTAAAATATAAAAATAGGTAATAATAATCTTATACATTTAAAATTAATCTGTAGGATATATATATACTTAAAAAAATTATTGTTCCCACAGATAGGCTATGGCCGTACTTCTTGATGGCGGGTTTTCTTCACAACTGAAAAAGCATGTTGGCGTGGACGAAAAGGTTCTTGCTGAAAAACCACTTTGGTGCGCCGAATTTCTTGTTACTGATCCTGAGGCTGTATGCAACGCTCACTCAGATTATGTTGAAGGTTAGAGAGGGTTTAGCTCTGATCATGTCTAGGTACTTTACTTTTAGATTATACTCCCACAGGTGAAACTGGATATCCGTCTCTATCAGATTATTGAACAATAAAGATATCGATTCGATCAGTAAAAATTTATTGAATCCAAAGAAGAAAAAAATAATGTAAAAAGGAGTAGAAGGATTTCTACAAGATTCTTCATTTGCAGGCCTAAGAGCGGCCAGCGTCATAACTGCATAATTTACATAGGTAATTAAATGAATGTTAGCCTAATACCAATTTTATGTTGCTCTCACCGGAAGACCAAGAGTGTAGTGATTACAAAGATCTTTGTTGCCAGATTTATCAAATCCTTACTAAGACTGATTTATTTTCAAGCTTTCTCGCAACATTTCTTTTAGCAAAGATTCATCACAAGTGTAGCCTATTTTTTGTATGTATCTACAAAAACTTTTGTATGTATGCCTTTGACTTTCTTATCTATTTTTGTAAGGGAACAGTACAAACCACTCTTGTTACTGCTCTTGTTCTTGCTCTTGCTCTTGTTACTGTCTATGTCTACTTTTTTCCAGATAGCATACAGTAATTCATTATTGATAGCCCGATGGATCTGGAACTAATCTTGCCAGGAATAGAATCATTGACCATTCTCTCGGCAGTAATGGTTAAAAGGTCATGTGTGCTGGGCAATCACATTAAAAGTGTTAAAGATTAAAAAATCTTTATAAAAAGATCTCTAAAAGATATCTTTAAAATATCTTTATATTTATCTTTATTAAATAACTATGTGTTTAAAAGCTTTAAATTAAATGTGCTTGACCCATACTAAGTAAGACATATTTTTGGACCACCCTAGGACTGGAAGTACCATTTTTCTTGATCATATGAGATAAGAGCAAGTTTTCTCCAATAAGCCTGGTTTACACGGGTCGAGTACGGCGGGCGAGTCAGTGTACGAGTTGCCACTCGCTCTTTAACTCGCATGGTGTAGACATGCGGGCGAGTCGAGCAACGGGCGAGTTGATAAAAAGAGGTCAGTTGAGAGCGAGTCGAGTGATTTAGTTGAAAACCGAGTTGCTCGGCCCAGTAGCTACCCCCACCACCACAATTTGCCCGCGAAACATCTGTTTACTGCTATCAAGTAAGTCCAGTGACCACAGAATTATTTTTAAAATTTTTTATTTGGTTGCTGAGTGAGTCGATCACACACAACGATCAGTATTGAGGTTAGTTCAGTGAGTAGTGTAGGCCTACTCAATGCTCAATGGTTTATTTGAACAGTTCAAGTGATTTTGTACAAGTTGAACAGTAGGCCTACTGTGTTGCATTGTCTCGTAATCTACTCTTGTAGAATTCAGTTTTCAAAATTGTTGTACAACTTAGGATCTACAGTTCTACTGGACTGATTTTATTAATCGATGGGTCGTTAGAAAGCTCACTTCCAAAAATGTGTTCTATCATAAATACATTGAAAACGGTGTTTTCAAATGTTTTTTAGGAGGCAACTTTTGGCTGCCTTTATATATCATTTTAAAGAAATGCAGTATAGTAATTTGTAACAAATCTTATTCTCTTTCAGAATATCACCTTTCACTTTAGTCTATTTTCTCACCGTTTAAAAGTTTTGCAAAAAAGCTTTAAGCAACCTCTGAAGTAAAGTGGTTATTCTGTTTTACATCTAATACGGTAATCTAATTCAGTGATTTACTTAAGTTACTGCATGGATTCAGTATTAAATTCCTGAAGGGCCATTTTAAACTCAAACAACATTTAACACGAAAGCTGCGGTATACGGAATACCCTTCACCGTAAAGAAATAATAAAAATTACTTCTCTGTGCCTACACTGTCCCTGTTTGAAATAATTGAAATAGGAATGCGTGTAGACAGTCCAGTCAAGTACCGGGCGAGTTGAACAAATTAACAACTGGGCCTAGTAACTGGGCCGAATAACTCGTCTGACATACTCGACCCGTGTAAACCAGGCTATAGGCTTTAAAATTGCTAGAAAAGTTAATTTGCTTTAAGGCTTTTAAATGCATTTTTGTCATTAAGTTACTGTAAAACATAATAGCTTAAACCCCATTTGTGAGCTTTTATTTTCAAAAATTATCCGTATAACCAACTTAAACAAGTCCTAGGCATTACATGTCTAATGAAAACTTAATCAATTTTATTTTTTCAGCTGGATGTGAAATAATTTCCACTAACACTTATCAGGCCAGTGTTGATGGGTTTCAAAAATATTTAAATCTTGATAGACAACAAAGCCTGGATCTCATCAAGGAAGCTGTTGTTTTAGCAAGAAAAGCAGTAAACAAATCAGAAAATGGTATGTAGGCAATACATCAACTTATATCCTTTTCGACAAGTTAGCTGCTTATCAAGTTAACTTAGCTAGGTGACAACGGGATGAAAACTGTTGCATCTGTAACACCTTGTGAAATACATTGTTTTAATAGGTAGTATTGATTATATGTACTGTAGAAAGTTCTGTTTACTAACAGTTCTTAGGACACAGTGTCAGCCAGAATTAATATTCAGTCACAACTGAAAGCAGCCATGCTTGACAGAAACTTAAGGTTAGGTTATAATAATTAGGCTGAGTTAAAATAATTAACATTTTTAGCAAATTTCCCATATAGGGAATAAGCTATTACCGAAGGTCTCATGGTAAGACCTAGACCGGGGACCGATTTACTTTTTCGTTTTGAGGTCCCCAGAGGCCAAAAACACCGTCCATTCATATATATATATGTTGTGTCTGTTAGCGCGATAACTCGAGCAAAAATGATCCAATTTTGATAAAATTTGGTACAAACAAGTAAACCCATGTTTATTCAAACAAGTTCGCGAACCAGCATGATCAGACTATGGGAACGGGGGTTTATGGGATAAAATTTTGTTTTTCCTATTTTTGACTCTAAAAACATAACATTTCACAACTTCTTTCCAAACAATTTTGTAGAGTTTAGAAAAAAAGAAATAATTTTGCCTATTTATTTAAGCGTTGTTGTATGCCTAACGGGTACGGAGATAATAAAAAAAAAAATTAAATTTAAAATTCTCATGTTATTCTTGGAGAATGAAAAACAGTCGTAGTTTGCTTGTTTATGGACATATTTTGATCAAATTTGGCAATTTTGTTTATTTCATACTAAGCTATCAACATTTCAATAAAAAACACACCTCAATACCTTCCCTGTAGCAGCAAACCTAGGTACTCATTAAAATTAATGTTATTTAAATAGGAAATAAATCTGACAATTTTAGAAATTTATAATTAGAAATCCAGCCAGGTAAATTGAAATTCGACTAGTCCGCAGGTTTGTTGCAACGAGGGTATTATATCCCATCAATTGTTAACCTAACCAAATGTCCAATTTAACAAAAATTTTTAATTTCTCCAGTATTGTGAGCTTCCTCAACCTTTCTCAAGTAAAAAACGGGATTTAAGTAGGTGCACATGACCCCACCAAAGTGAAAATGAAACTTAAAATTAACAGTGATTTAAATTTGTTAACCTACGAACTTAGTTTAGGAAGCAGTTAACTTATTCAGCACTCTTATGATAAAAATATAGAGTTTTTTTTAAACAAGTATAGTTTTATGTGTGACTACCATTTTTTAAACTGATTTGTGACCAACTTGCAGGAAGCAGTGTTTTGGTAGCAGGATCAGTCGGACCATATGGAGCTTCTCTGCATGATGGGTCAGAGTATCGAGGGGAGTACATAGAGTCTACGACTCAGCAACAGCTAATGGACTGGCATAGGCCGAGGATACAGGCATTGGTAGAGGCTGGGGTGGACTTGCTGGCTGTGGAGACAATACCCGCAGTAGGGGAGGCTGTGGCTGTGCTGACATTGCTGAAGAACGAGTTCCCCAATCAGAAGGCCTGGATCAGCTTTACTTGCAAAGTAGGTCTTAACATTAAAATCGTGATTATTTAAATCCCGAAGTTCATTTGTATACCTCTTGTAATAATTGTTTGGCAGTTTTATGACTCAAAATTCGGAGTAGTCTTGGTATTTTCTTTTTTTTAGGGAGAGGCGGGAAAATGTGTTTACAAACACAGTTGGCCAGCCTGTAGTGGTGTACTAAAAAACTTTTTAATACCCAAACACTACCCACTAATTACCTCTTCTACTCCTTCAGACACTGTCTTGGTATATAGTAGTCGCTTTGTTCTTACTGTGTTGTTCCAAGATCTCCTGTAACACGTTTCATGCTTTTCTGGTAGCTAGACCTTTTTGTTTTTTAAGACCTATCTGTAACCGTACTATAGATATTCTTGAGTTTTTTTAAGATAGTTAAAAAAGATTAATGAGAAAACATTACACACAGGATGGACTGCACTTATCACATGGGGAGACGTTTAGGGAGGCGGTGGCACAGTGTTGCCAAACTAACAGGGATCAGCTGGTGGCAGTTGGCAGCAACTGTTCCAACCCTGTGTTTATCTCTTCTCTGCTAAAGAGTGCACAGGAGCAGCAAGTTCCCTTCATTGTGTACCCTAACAGTGGAGAAGCATGGGATTCAGATGCAGGGTGAGCAAAGTGCATCTATGTGCATCTTAATTGTGAAATATTTAATTAAATTGTAAATTCAATAGTTTTGGTCTCATTTGGTACAGGTTGAACTAAACTACTTCCGCAACATTTACCATGTAAAGGTTAGTTAAAAAAAACTACATCTTTCCTGTTTCCTCTCATCCTTACTTTTTAACCAAAACTCCAAGTGGGTGATCAAGTGAACTATAAGATCGCTTGGCACGATAATTCCAGGTGCTTCAATAAAACCCATTATGCCACAAACAAACAACTAACTGTCTTCAGCACCTAACCTGATTTCTTCTTAAAGGTGGACAAACAAAGACGCTTGCGTGCCTCTCACCCATTACATTCCCGAGTGGATCTCATTGGGAGCCAAATACATTGGTGGGTGTTGCAGAACTACAGCAGAAGATATACGGCTGTGCCGCAAGTACTTGGATACGTTGTAAGCGAATTTGGATGTCAAAATACATTTGTAAATAATTATACTTTATTACTGAGCTTATTAAGGTTATAAATAAAATTGATTACATACTTAATAATATTTCTACTTCTTAATATTTCATCCTAATAACAAATAATTAGTCTTATGTAGCAACTTTGTAGTTGTAGTGCTCACTAACAATTGAATTTCTGGATCTACAGTAGCTGGTTCCAGACAGTACTTTTGACTATTAATAGAACTAGACATTCCATTTCCATAAAGTTGTTACCAGTTTTTACATTAAAATAGATTTAGTCAACGTGAGCTACCGACAGATTGCTCTGATGCAAGTCACTGATTTCTGACGACTATGATGGTCTTTCAACCAAGTCAAACTGATAGGATAACTTATTGTAACCTTAAGCATCTATTATGCCCATCAAATATCTCTGTAACAAAGAATAAGGACGAATATATAATTTTAGATACAATATTAGCACATTCTATGACTGGCTCACAGAACTATATTCTTTTTGATACAAAATTAGCAACAGCTGGTCCATATAGATGGGGTGTCACTTCAGTATCCAAAAGTCAATAGCAGTACTCAAAACTGCAAACAGTAATCCTAGATTGAACTCATAATAAATGGTACAGCTATTTCAAGAGATGGCCTTAGTCAGTATCAAAGCTACTCACTGCATCTTACTCTATGTAGGCTACCCTAAAATTTTTAAGCTGAAAATGTCCCATGAATACATATTTCATTAATCGAGAATGCATCCTTGGCACTTATTTTTTAAACGAATCCCACCAGATAGGATTTGATTTAACCAATTATTAAACATTAATGGCGCCTTCTAGTGATGTGTCCGTTCCAAAAGATGGTTCCTGGTTCTTGAGGAAATAACCGGAAGGGAGAACTGTTGGAAAATTGTCGATTCTTCAGTCCGACGGTTCCATCTACTACTTTACGCATTTCTAGTTCTTAAAAAGATTAGTTTATATTGTTATTTAAATGTTAATTACTAACCTTTAATTGTTACAATAATAAATATAAAACTCATAAAAATGATGTTGTTATCAATAGCATAAGTGATGATAAAAGCTCGCCTGATAACGACATACTGTAGTAGTCTTTAATGGGGTGATTAGTAAAGTAACCATGGCAACTTGTTGAATGTGTGGATGAAGGGAAACCCATCAAGAAAGAATGGAAGAACAAAGGGAAAGAAACGTTTTTATGTTATCTTTATACCCTTTTTAGGAGCTTTGCTATTATTATCTTTATGTATGATTTTATACTTCTTTATGAGTTTTCTAATGTTTTATAGGTTTACAAAATAATATTGATGGGCGAATCCAAGAAAATGTTGGTACCGGATCCGGATCCAGATACGTACTGTCATAAGGATGGTTTAAAAAAACTTAATATTTACAGAAATCCAATTTAAATTATACAGTTTTAAAATAAATTGGTTATGTTTAATGGTTAATATATCTTATAATCGGGCAGACTCTTGAGCCATGAATATTACCATAGGAAAGACGTATTGACTTACAGTAGTTACAGGCAAGGTGGAAGGAGAACAGCTGTAGAGTTGTGATATAAAGTCATTTTATTTTCGAGTCTAAATATTCCCTGCAGCTCTTCATATCTTCGGCCGTAGTTTGACAACAGCCTCCGATATACTCTGCTCCCAGTGAGATCCATTCTGGCAGGTAATGGACCAACGGGTGATTGGAGTCTATGTCAGTCCAGCTATAAAAAGTACTGCACTTAGATACTTGCAAAACATAGAGGTGGATTAGAAATACTAGAATATATCTTAGAAATTAGGTAAGTTGCCTAATTAGTCTGTATATATAATCACATAAATAAATAAATACTGAAATATAGAACTACCGCAATGAGAACTATTGCAAGTTCTATCCTGATTGTGACTTCTGCGAGAACCATAAGGTAAAAACTTGTATTGAGTGTTTTAATGCCCCAAAACGAAGATTTCACATTGACATTTTAACACAATAGAGTGTATATCAGTTGAATATAGTTGACATTAAGGTTTGTAATGTATGCCAAATATGTTGCTTGTTGTTTTATTAATCATATCTAATAAAACATCACAGGTCCCCGTGCGAGCTTTCGCGTTATGGCGATAGGCAGAGACACTCTCGGATAGAAATAACCCAATTTTTACTGAATCAAATTGAGTGTGAAAACCCAAACTCAATAATTTAAAATGGTTAAAACTAATATTATAGATTGAAAATGTTGAGAGTTTATGTTTGAAAAAAAATTGGTACATCTGTTGTGAAATCCGTGGATAAGTTGTTTGATTACCTGCTTTAATTTCAGTTTTAAGTTAAAAGTTGAAAAAATTAGGGATTTTAAGTTTGGGATTAAATTGTTCTTTCAAAGTTTTTTTTTTCTTAGTAACAAAATAAAACAAAACATAGAACTCAGCTGTCTATGTCTACAGACATTGCTGTAGCAACAACACCCTTTAAATACAAGGGGTTTAATTCAACCGTTACTATCACCATTGACTATACTTACTCTTAAGGTGCGTTTACATTAATTCAAGCTCACATGAATAATGAATGAATAATGAATAATGAAGTTTATTTCCCACAAAAAACCACAATGTAACAATACATGAGATGTAGAGAAATAGAACTGGCTACTTGATCCAGTAGTGTAACCAGTTTGCTTATACTAACTTATAGGCTAACATGACGTTGTAATTTATGGTCTAGCATCTGATATAAAACATTGAATTCCGCCTGAACTGTGCATCTGATGGACAAAACAAGAACTGTTTTAATAAACAATGAAAGTTATTACAACAGGATATTATTTATATAATTTATGTCCTGCTGAGAAGAAAGCCAAATTATCGTTGCTTTGCTAAACTGCTTTAAATTTAAACTATTCTTTATTTGAAGTGGTAGATAATTATAGTATTTTGGACCTAGATATTGAAAAGAGTGACGAAAAATAGCTTTATTTACTTTGGGTAGTTTCAGAGTATTATTGGTAATGCTTCTTGTTATGTATGTGTGTGTAATATTTGGTATGACGTTAACTCTGTTTCCACTTCGAACAAAAAACAGTCTAAGAACTTTGAAAACAAAAAGGTGCTGTATGGGCAAAATTGTTAACTGTTGGTAGAGTGGAAATGAACTTGTTCTTTTAGGTTGTTTCAAAATTATCCGCATAAAAAAGTTTTGTGTTGTTCTTAATCTATTTATCAAAGTTTTATAAGTTCCTCCCCAGCATGGCAAGGCATATTGCAATCTTGAGTTGATTAGTGCAAAGTATAATGTTCTCAAAAGTGATTCGTTACAAAAATTTCTTAAAAAATAAAATTTTCTTATTTGTGTTCGTATCTTAGCATGTAGATTTAATATATGAGGTTCGAAGGTGACTTTTTCATCGAGTAGAACTCCTAAATATTTTATAGATTTTACTTTTTCTAACGGCTGGCAATTACATAGTTGTGGACTGCAATTTGAGGAGTGAAAAATTAAAGGAGATGGCAATTCAAAACCGGTTGAGTGGAAATTAACAAATTTGGTTTTGTTTACATTTACCTGCATTCTATTGATCAAACACCAATTTCTTAAAAGTAAAAGATCATCGTTTATTAAATTTTCCATCAACATCAAATCGTTTTGTGTGTAAAAAAGAGCAATGTCATCAGCAAAAGCAAAGATATTTCCGTTAAAAGGTAGATTTAATAAATCGTTGATGAACACTAAAAATAAAATACCTGAGGTCGTTGACCCTTGGGGCACACCCGTTTGTACAATGAGAGGATTACTGTAGTCATTGTTTATTTTTACTTGTTGCCTCCTATTTGTGATGAAACTCTTAAACCACTCAAAAGCTGTACCTCTTATTCCTACGTTTTGCAATTTATTTAAAAGAATGTTGTGATTTACCATGTCAAAAGCTTTTTTAAAATCAATAAATAGACCTGTTGTTTTCAGTTTTGAGTTTAATCCTTGGAAGATGTGATCGGTTACTGCCAATAAAGCACTTTCTGTTGACCTGCCTTTAATAAAACCAAACTGCTTATTACTGAAAAAAAGTGTTTTATTTAAAAAAATTTCAATTCTAATCATCATGAGCTTCTCGAGTATTTTAGAAAAAACTGAAAGTAAGCTAATGGGTCTGAGATTTTCTAAATTAAAAGAATTATTTTTTTTCAAAATGGGTACAACTAAACTTAATTTGAGTGTCTCTGGAAAAATACCTTTGTTGAAACTCATATTAAATATGTATTCTAAAACAAGAGATATTTCGTCAATTATATGTTTAAGTAAACTAACACTGATGCCATCAAAGCCAGTAGATTTTTTGTTCTTTAAATTACTAACAACTGACTTTATTTCCTGCACTGTAGTTGGTGCTATAAAAAACGTTTGTGGACAGATGTACATAGGAGGTAGAATTGCTGCAGGGAAAGTGATTGGTTGTCCAGCCTGAATTGAGACAAGGTGGTTGTTTATTTCCTGGGCGATAAGGCCAGGCTCTGTTATCAGTGTCCCATCGTTTAGCTCAATCCTATCAATGTTCTTATCTTTTACATTTCCAGTCAAGTTATTAATAATTTTCCATTGTTGGGCAATATTACCATTACATTCTTCAAGTTTATTTGAATAATATAAGTTTTTTGCTGTGTCAATGTCAACTTTTAAATTGTCTGTAAATCTTTTGAAATAGGTGTTGAAAGCAGTGTCATATGGTCTTTTTTTGGAAAGTATATAAAGCTTTCTTCTCCTTTTTATTCGATTAAAAATGTTTCTTGTAATCCAAGGACTCGATAACTTTGCTTTCCTCAGACATACGAGTACAGCTTGCATTCCTCCTCGAATAAGTGTCACAAATTTACTTGCATGCTAGTGGTGGAATGCGAGAACGAGTGGCATTTTGTCGTTTGAATTACTTTCCAATATGTCGGTAAATGCTCGCACACTCGCATACGATTCACACTACACAGCACGTCAACAGCACGTCGCCAGCACAGCGCTGGCCCGTCGACGTTGGTAATGTTATCATATGAGAGCGTACCCACTGGTGATGTGACGGTGACGTGCTGGCGACGTGACGGGACATGCTGGCGAGCTGCTGGCCCCCCAACGTCGCTGTTGCCGTGCAGTCACCGTCTGTCAGTAGTCTCAGTCAGTGTCAGTACAATACATCAAGCCCTGGCCTGAGTACAAGGTGCGTGCTTTGTTTGCAAGATGGAAAAAGAAAGTGCTACATTTAAGTACCACGTCGTCTCGCTCATTGAGCTTGTAGAGTCTAAGCCCTGTCTTTAGGACAAAACTAATGAGGACAATAAACAAAAAATTATTAGCAAAAAGGCGTGGAAAGAAATATTCCAATTATTCCAACAAATATAATAATTATAATCTTCGATTAAAGTCAGCCATGTTGCTTCCACCAAATCTAAACGCTGACTGCTCTGACTGCAGTAAAAATGTTGTGCTCTACGTGTCGTTGCTGTCAAGTGTGTAAGGACCCCTGCCGTTGCCGTGCTGTTGCTGTTGCAGTGCTGGCGATGTGCTGTGTAGTGTGAAAACGCCCATCTTTGTGAATCCCAGTTTGTGAAAACGTAAATGTGGTGGAAAAGGGATGTTTCTCTTTGTTTATAGCTTTTGTGTTTACTGTACAGTGATGGCTAAGTTTAGTGGTGATGTGTGTTAAATTTAATTTTTTTTATCCCTACACCCACCAAAACACCTTGAATAATTTCACTCATACTACATATACATACTTATAAATTTCTACATAAATCTTTAATAAGTTCACTTATTAATAAATACATACTAAACATAAACATATTATACACAGAGAATACTTATCTTTTGCCTTACAACTACATCACTCGCCACTGCTATTATTATTCCAGTAACAACAACAATGTAAACGCTGCTCGAATTGTAACTCGCTCGCTATCGCATTCCATTAACTCGAATGCGAGCTTGAATTAATGTAAACGTACCATTACTGTTATTTGTTTAACTATAAGACATTGGAGAGCTTGGTTACCAAAACAAATTGAAATTGTTGCCAATAGCTTGAATGAAATTTGTAGGGTTTCAATCTCTGGTTTAATTATGTTGTACATATTAATATACATTAGACCCTATTACCAACAAATCATAAGGGGCAACCTACATACCATAAAAACTATGTACTAAATGGTAAATTGAATCTTACCCAACACCTGGTGTCCAAGTGGCCCCTAAGTTGGGGTATACAACAAAAGGGGGGCGTTGGGGCACATCCTGCGCACTTCTGAGCAAATCTGCGATAAACACAGGATTGGAACAATTGATACCAACTGCTACCAACTGATCCCTGTTGATTTGGCAACACTGTGCCACCGCCTCTTTGAGTGTTTCTCCGTGTGAAATATGCAGCTCATCCTATGTAAACAAAAACAGATAGTAAATTATAGATATCCCAAGAACAAAACAACCTGCGCAGAAACGAAAAGATCACGTGGTTCGCGCAGGTAGGTGTGGCGTAGCATTCAAACCTGCGCGGCTCGAAACGGCCCAGGGTTCTTTTGTTTCTGGTATTACTATAGTTTCACTTTGTTTATGGTTTTTTTTGTCCTAGGACGCTAGGATTATTTTTCACATTACTTCAGGCTAGACCTAGGGGTTACGGCATTATCACTTAGATAAAATCCATTGGTGACTTGGCAGGGATCGAACCCGGGACCTCAGGGGCTGAAGTCCCGCGCTCTAAACACTACGCCAGCTATTACTATGGTCTCAGGTTCAAATCTTACCTAAAATTACCAATGGCTGTTTAGCTATACAATAGAACTCCTCATATAGAACAGCCAAAAGGTAGGATATTGAGAGGAGCATAACTTGGGTGACACCAAAATTCTTCACTCGTGATTTCGGCAACACCTGTCAGCACATTTTGCGGTTTTGGTGATAGCGTTGATTGTCTGCCATGATAACAGCAACCCCCGTGATCACCCATTCGGTTAAGTAACCTAATGTGCCAGTAACGTTATCGCTCCAGGCAGGTATTATGAAGCTGCGACCCTCTAGGCTATAAGTAATGTGTAAAACGGTTCTGAGCTAGAGCCTCGCTTCCTGGGATGTAAAAGTGTGACAAAAAAAAATACAATACCATTTTAACCTACCCCTGAGAAATTGAGAACCTACTTTACAAGTAAAGCTGATCCAGGCCTTCTGATTGGGGAACTCGTTCTTCAGCAATGTCAGCACAGCCACAGCCTCCCCTACTGCAGGTATTGTCTCCACAGCCAGCAAGTCCACCCCAGCCTCTACCAGTGCCTGTATCCTCGGCCTATGCCAGTCCATCAGCTGTTGCTGAGTCAGAGTCTCTATGTAAGTTCCTGTGTATTCAGAACCGTCATGCAAGCAAGCTCCGTAAGGCCCGACTGATCCTGCTACCAAAACACTGCACCCTGAAAGTAACTCCAGTTAAGAAAAATTGTTACTTATTTTAAAACAGTAAACAGGGATGCACTAGTTGATAGGAAGTTTATCATAGTGAAATGGTCAATATTAATTTACACCAAACCAGGGTTTCTTTAGTTTTGGTCATATTTCACAAATGAGTTTATTCCTCAAAACCTTTAAACCGTTAAAACTTTATTTAGTTTAAAATTTTTTTGAGGTAAAATTCTCTTTAATATACAGTACATTAAACATTTTATGTGTTTAGGCCTACTAACAATATTTTTAAAGTTATTTTACAGTAAACTTCAACAGGTGTGGTTTTTGACTCTACTTTTCTATGTGTGGTGATGTGAACATAAACTCCTAGGAATGGACAAGAGCCACTGGTAGTGGAGACTAACATATCTGACATAGCCGTGGCAGCAACTTTAGTCAAGATAATCGGCCAATTGTTTTTTTTTCTCATAGACTCTAAACAAATCTGAGAAGCTGTATTCAGCTGTTGAAAAAGAAGCCGTTGCCATTGTCTAAGCCCTTAGAAAATGTAAACCATTTCTTATCGGAAGAGACTTCAGATTATGCACAGATCAGCAAGCTTTATCATTTGTTTTTGACAAGAGGCATACAAGTAAAATAAATAACCCCGCCGCAGCAAACCTGCAGACTAAACAAATTTCAACTTGTCTGATTACATTTTTACTAAAATATTTCCATGAATAAGACATATTTATTCCCAATTTAAATAACATTAGATTTATTGAGTGCTTAGGTTTGCTGCTACGAGGAAGGTAAAAAGTCTTTTTGACCTTACGTCAATAGTATAAGATGAAATAAATTTGCCAAATTTTATCAACATTTATCCATAAACAAGTAAACTACAACAACAGTTTTAATTTTCTCCATAAGAATAACATGGGAATTTTAAAATACACTATTTTTGAATTTTCTCCGCGACCGTTAGGCATACAACAGCGCTTCAATATACTAAATTATTTCTTTTTTTAAGCTCTACAAAATTGTTTAAAAAGAAATTGAAATTTGTTTTGTTTTTAGGGTCAAAAATGGGAAAACCCCATTTTTACCCCATAAAACCCCCCATAAACCCCTGTTCCCATGGTCCGATTATGCTGGATCGCGAACTCGTTCGAATAAACGTAGGTTTACAAGTTTGTACCAAATTTCATCAAATCGGATCATTTTTGCTCAAGTTATCGCGCTAACGGACATATATATATGTATATATATGAATTTGAACGGATGGTGTTTTAGGCCTCTAGGGACCTCAAAACAAAAAATTAAATCGGTCCCGGGTCCAGGTCTTACCATGAGTACTACGGTAATAGCTTATTCCCTATATGGGAAATTCGCTAAAAACGACAAGGTTATGAGATGGCGACTAGAGCTAACACCTTAACAATATGAAATAGTGTACCGATCTGATAGGGTGAATGTTAAAGCAGATACGCTCTCTCGGGCATGTGGGGTTCGCTGGGACAAAGCTAAATTATATGAATTACACAAATATCTCTGCCATCCGGGAGTCACTCTAATGTTTCATTGGATTAGAACTAAAAATCTAAACTACACTCTGGATGATGTAAAAAGGATGACGTCAGCTTGTCAAACATGTGCAGAAGTGAAGCCAAGATTTCACCAATTCCAAAGAAAATTGATAAAGGCAACCACAACCTTCAAACGTCTAAATATTGAAGGGCCCTCTTCCATCAACGACCATAAACCGTTACCTTTTAACCATGGTGGATGAGTATTCTCATTTTGTATTTTCTTACCCCTGTAAGGACATTAGTTCAGCAACAGTTAGTAATCAAATGTTTTTCAGATCTATTTTTTATGTTTGGGGCCCCGTCCTCTGTACATTCAGATAGAGGGTCATCTTTTATGTCACGTGAACTGACGGACTTTCTTCACAAGTTGGCTGGGTAGCTGAGTGGTTATAGTGCTCGCCTACTAATCAAAAGGTCACCGGTTCGATCCTGAGAAAAGTCAGTAGCTTTTTGATGGTTCGAAACTGGACCCAGCTGTTCCTGATCATTGGGCTTTAAATAAATGATCCTGGCTAATGAAGCAGCTGATCTTAGTCAGTAACAAAGCTACACAGATCATCTCACACCATTCTACACTCATCCTTCACTCATATTTGGGTTAAAATACGCACCTAAGTGGCGTCCCCATCTTAATGATTGATAATTGATTGATGAAGTATTACATGGGGCTCTTCACTCAGTCAGATCTCTTTTATGTACTGCGACAAATTGCACACCGCACGAAAGATTCTTTATACATAGCAGAAGAACTACCAATGGAGACTTCTTACCATCTTGGCTATCTGCTCCTGGTCCTGTCCTGCTTAGAAGGTTTGTAAGATCTAATAAATATGATGACCTTGTGGAGTCAGTTCAACTTTTGGAATGAAATCCACAGTACGCTCTCACCAGAAGAAGAGATGGATCAGAATCACAAGTATCCCTGAGACATCTTGCACCCGCTGGCCTACCACCTGGTGATCTACCTCCTGAAGACAACACTACTGAGAGAGAGAATGTTGAAAATATGGATTCAGACATTGACCACCATGAAGATCAAAATGATACTCAACAAACAGTATCTCAGGCCCCAACTTCAGAGACGGCTGTGGGGGAACTACTGCCAAAGAGTATCTAAAGGATTACATTTGCTATACCTACCATAAAAATAGTGGGGGAGAATGTGGTGATGTGAACATTATCACCTGATAATATTTATTATTTGATTTGTTTGTAAATATTGTATTTGTTAAAAATTGTTCTTAACTAAAACATAGTTGTAATTTTGGATAAATAAACCATATTAACCCACGAGCCGATATATTGGCTTTCTCCGTAGTCGCGTATATGGCCAAGAGCCGATATATCGGCTTTTGCTGCGGATGCGAATATGGCCAAGCGCCGATATATCGGCTCGCATATTTTTTCTATTACGCGCTCGCATCCTGAGGCGAATCATAACGCCATATGTATCAAATGAAAGCTTATGAAATTACGAACAAGAATATATATATATATATATATTATACATATAGTTTAGTAAGTTCAGAAGGCAGTGGCAGGACTGGAGCGCTGAGTTGCCAAATCACATGTTTTGGCACCAAGCTGTCTGGCAGTGTTTGTTTATGTACACAGTGAAGGGTTAAAACATCTGTTTAGTAGTTGTAGTAAACTTTTCATGTGAATACAGTCGTCCTTTATTGTTGAAGTGAGTAATACTGTTAATACTGTTCAATGAAATGGCGACCATACATAGTAGGTATTTTAAGCCAAGTATGAATGGAGATGAGTGTAGGATGAGAGGCGCAATCTTGTAGTCTTGTTAGTGACTAAGGCCGACATTCCTTAGACACAGCTGTTAATTAATAGCCCATACAGCTAATGGCAACTAAGGGACCTACAGTTTATAGTGGAATCCGAACCACATTTTTCCTTGGTATATACGAATTGGTCTAATGATCAGGATAGTACTGCGGATGGTCGTAGTACTCACTCGTGCGGACGTTAATCCACACCAGGGAGTACCGCACCCACAGTGCACGCCTATAAATATCCACAATTCGTGACCTCCTAGTAGCTGGATTACAGGACGACGCCACCCGTCCCAGTCTAATGTAAAAGTACCGGTAATAGTGAGTCTTTTCATTGTAATGTAATGCGGGCGTGCACCCCGAGTGCTACGTCAATCACAAGTGTGCATAAGAAACAAAAACTATGCTGTAAATATATAAATAGGGTACCCCTTTTTTTATATTTTCCATTCAAATTGTGTTTCTCTTATAATTTTTTCATGACTTAGTATATTTTTAATTCTATAATGATTTGCCTTCTCCAGGACAATTAGCGATCCAGGTAAATGTTTATAACTTATCCTATTTTCAAAATGTTTGTTTTGTTGTGTAAATGTAAAAATTCTATATAACGGACTGATTTTTATATATATACTATATGAAAATGTATTTTATTTTTTAGGAAGGTGTAGAATGCGAAAGTATAATATGTAAATAAATTAAGAGTTTTTGAAATTTCATCATAATGTTCAAAAATAGTTTATATATAGGCCTATTGTATGTGTATATATTTATACATAAGTGTATATCTTACTAATATTATAAATCTGAAAGTTTGTGAGTTTGTGTGTATGTTTGTGTGTTGCTCAATCAAGCATATACTACTGGACGGATTTGGCTGAAATTTTGCATGATGATAGCTCACATTCCCTATTAACATTTATACATATTCTTATCTCAAAAATACTTTCGGGCTCCGTCCCAGTGGCTCTGTAGTTCCCCATGTTAACCTTATGAGTATTCATATTTAAAGGGAACTAGCTGTAACCCGCGGGCTTTGCCCCGTTTAACTTCTTAATTTTCAAGATGATCTCGTTCGCATGGCTCAATCACGTCCTGATTGAAGTTCGTTCGCTACGCTCACTCACCTTTAGGTTGGAGCTCGTTCGCTACGCTCACTCACCTTTAGGTTGGAGCTCGTTCGCTACGCTCACTCACCTTTAGGTTGGAGCTCGTTCGCTGCGCTCACTTGCCTTCAGGTTAGATCGTTCACTACGCTAACTCGCCTCCAGGTTGAAGTTCGTTTGTTATGCTCACTCACCTTTTGGTTGCAAATTAGCTGTTGTCATAAATGTAAAAGAAATAATAGTGCTGCACCCTGTTGGTAATCCTTGTAACTTTAATGCTATTGAACATCATAGAACAGAACCAACTTGTTTAATTGAAACAGCTGTTAAGATTCATTAATTCCATTTCTCATAAGGTTAACATGGAAAACTCCAGAGCCACTGGGGCGGAGCCGATTGGACGGATCACGAAATTGATGGTGTATAAACCTATTCCATGAAATTCTACACGTATGTACCAAGTTCCGTGGCAATCGGTTCAGCGGTGTCTGAGTTTATCACTGCCAAATATATATATATACAAACATCCTCTTTTATACTTATAGATTAAAGAATTTAGTCAGCTGTTTCAACTTTAAAAGTTGGTTCTATAATGTGCAAAAGCATTAAAAAGTTATAAGGTTTCCCAACAGGGTGCAGCACTATTATTATTTTGTTTTTGCATATATGACAACAGCTAATTTGAACTAAGCAAAAAGGCTGTGATACACAATGAGAACGGTCAAAGTAGGATTGTTTGATTACAGTTAGGTTTGAGTTTTTAATTTAATAAATAATTTGAGATATTTTGCGAATGTTTGATAATTTATTTTTTTCTATTGTTTGCATAGTTGGGAAAGTTAGTCAAAATTTCTAACTAGTTAGAAGTTAGAAGTTATTCCCATAAAAAGTAACTGATAGAAGTTACTAGTTGGTTGGTTTAAAAAGTAACTGATAGAAGTTATTAGTTAGTTGAAAAACTAACTGATAGAAAATAAAGTTAGTTTTCGACATTCGTAGAAGATAGCTGTTTGTTGGGCAGGACAGTTGTTTTAAAGGATTTAGGAGGAAGGATTACCTAATATGTAATGAAATAATGACACATCTTTGGTTACTAATTGTGTTTTAATTAAATACTAATTCAACATCGTCACATTTACATTACACACAACAAGGTACATTCATTAGGTTACATTCATTGCTGCAACAAAATTTACTTTAAATACTTATTAAATTTTAAAAGAAGTTGTTTTTCGAAATTGGCGTCGTTGATTCTTCCTCGTCTGTTAGTGATGACTAAGCTTGCCGCACTGAACAGGCGTTCGCAGTGCGCTGATGATGGAACCGCTGTGTTGAATTTTATGAAGAGGTTCTTGCAGAATTCTGACATTCCTTTCACGTCTACGGTGTCATGGAGATAGCGTGCCAACTCGGATTCCGCCTTGGCCCTCTCCATCTGGGATGTGTCAGTGTCGCCGTTAGACTCTTTGGGTACGCCGATCACCGAAAAAAACTTGTCTATTTTAGTGTTCTTTGACTCTGGAGGAGCCTTGCTTCCTGCTGTTGTGGTTCTAGTGGAGGGCTCTTTTCTCGTTCTCGCAGCCTTCAGAAACTCGCCAGAGATGGTATTGTGGATGGTCTGCCTTTCTGCGAGATGTGACACCCAGTCCAGCTTAAACCTAGGAATTAGGCAGGCAGCTATAAATATAAATATTGTATAAAAAATTAATAAAACCAGATATTGAGTAATAATAGTAACATTTACCTTCTAAAGACTGACCAGCAGTCAGCAGTAGCACAAACTGTCGAAACTTCACTTAAAGAGCTCAGCAATTCATTTTTCATTTGGATGAATGATTTATCCAACATATCCATAAGATTCTTCCTATTAGGAGGATTTTTTCCACCACATGTTTGTATGAGATTTAAAAAATCTTCGTGTTCAACAATTGAAAATGGGCAACCAGTTCCAACGATATACCTGAGCACAGCTTTATTTTGATCTTCAGTTGTCTTTGGAATTTTGTCTCCCAAATGTGTCTGCTTTGTACATTTTGATTTTAGCACAGGCTCGGTAATATCAGTACAGTCTATTTTTCGTTTGCGACCCTTTTTTTCCATTTTTTCATTGAAATCCAAAATCTTAGAAGGATGTGTGGCCTACAAAGCAATTTGAATAGTTAACACTAAGTAATATGTACAGTACACTATGTTTTCATAGCAATGATAAATATACCCTAAAATGGAAGCCAAATATTGTTAATCGCAGCATAAAATAATTGATGAAATCTGACTTTTTAGTCAATATAAACAAATCTTGAAAAATCCCACAATTTAAAGTATTGCATCATGTTATTAATAAATACTTTTGCTACAAAAATTACTATCGGGGAAATAAATATGTGTACTCGAGTTTGAGCCAAAATATCTCTGAGATGAATTACCCGATTTTGTTGAAACAAAATTAAATATAAGGTTCATTGTTAACATATCTGTGCATTTACAAAATTTTATTCGCAGTAGTTTTTATATTGCCGTTAATTTTTAAAAAGAATGCTTACATCGTTAATAAGACACAGACAATTTCGTTCAAAATACCATAGTGTTTGCCGTGACACAAGTAATAACACCAATATGACAGATTTTAGATTTATAATGCAAACAAAGGTGGATTTTAAACAGATTTACATTTGTAAACAAAAATTATTCCCGTGACTGGCAGCGGGCCGCCTGATGTTTGTACCATATTTCCCAGCCGGGCGGGAGTGCGTGCGCCACTGCGACGTTGCCGATGTGCGTGTATATTTATAGTTAACTTACTGTTTTATGATGTAACATAAATTTACTAACAAAATATTCACTAGAACCATGAAACAAATACGTCACAATAAGTTAACTTCAAATATACACGATGAAATTTTGAACGTAATTTTCAGTGCCTTATTAACGATGTTAGCATACGTTTTAAAAATTAACAGTAGCATAAAAACTACTGTGAATAAAATTTTTTCAATGCATGGACATGTTAACAATGGACCTACCAATAACCCATAAAAATTTCAGAAAGATTGGCTCGGTGGTTTTTTTACAAATAAATTTTTAACTTCAGTGTTAGTGCAAAGTTTCTTAAAACCCGGTACTTTTTAGGATCTTTCAACTAACTATATACATTTTTCTGGTGAACGGAAATTTTTTAACTGACACCACGTAAAATTTATTTAAACCAGCTTATACTTAACTTTTTTTTCAACAAAATCGGATAAATAATCTCAGAGATATTTAGGCTCAAACTCGAGGACACATATTTATTTCCCCGACAAAGGTGATACAAAAACTTGTCATCACTCTGTATTCAATAGTTCAAAAACAAATAGTGATAATCTCACCTTTCCTGACATAAACATTACTTTCGATACACACAAACATAAGTTACAACTGAAGTTCCCGGTTAGGTCAAACTCAAAACACAGTTTGTTGACGTTCAATTAGCTGAATGTTACTCTAAAATTAATTGTACAGTCGTATTGTGTTTAACTTAGAAACAATTAATGGATTACGAAATATCAGATATTTTTAAAAGTCTGATGAAGTAGTTTTCCCAGTGTTATAAAAGTATAGTTAACTCCTAGTTTTAAAAGTGACCTATTTGTGGCGAGATAGTGTTTAAAAGAGCATGGGAAACACATTGAGAAATACACTATAACTGTACTAAAAAATATAAATTATATTCATTTAAAAAATGTATATTCCCTTAAAGTTAACAACGAGACCATCATACTTTTTCTCCACTTACCTTAATATGCGCTCTCAAATTCTAAGCACTTGTGACTGATGCTTTAATTATTTTTGTTTTGGGTAAACACAATAAACATTTCAACGCTAGTCCACCGTTTTCATTTCTTTCAACTTGTTGGAATATGTCGCTTAAGTTTGGCCACTTAATAACACGATCGCCCGCTTTGGAAACAAATATTATTAATCTACCGTACTTAATCAACACTGTTCACCTTAATAACTATTGTGTAAAAAATGTTTAACTATCACTAAAATATGTATACCGACAAGACAACTAAAAACACTTGGGCGAAAACAAATGAACTAACACCTGTCACGGTCAGCGGTCAGATAAGATAATGAACTTCGACTGAAGTGAATACATTGTTTTGACACTTGAGATTACATATCAATACACCCCCCTTCCCACCCTTCGGTGCTTGGGGTGTTGTTATTGGCTGCCATTGTCCCGCCCCCCGGGTCCGCTGCATACCAAAGCGACTGGACTTTGACTTTCTCTTTCCCCACCCCCCGCGTTGTTTGTCACAAGGGCGCTGACCTCTCACGTACGCTCGCAACCCTCACTGAACACGTCAAATAAATAACCCGTAGGCTATTGGGAAACACTTTTGCCTGACCAAAAACTTAACGATTTAAAACCAGCGAATATATTATCTATTCGCTGGCTATAAAACTAACTGAGTAGAAGTTATTTCGAGCTCTTTTTAAAAAGTATCTAATAAAATAGAAGTTAGCCGAAAAAACAAACGAATAGCGCTATTCGTTAATATTTCTATTCGTTTTTCCCAAGTATGATTGTTTGGGTGCAGTGGTAGAACATTATGACAATGGTAGATGTGTTATACTATATCATACCGTAAATTTATGAACCAAATTTTATCAAACTGTATCCTTCCTACATTGCAAACGCAAAGCTTGAGTATAACTGCAATAAGCATTTTATACTTATATGCCAACCCCGTACAAAGGACGGGTGCTCTGCTAGTATGTATATATACATATAAGTTAGTTATGGTTATTACTATTTTATTTATAACAGTTTATAAACTTTCTACCTACACACATTCATTCATTCAATTTTTTACAAAATTGGCTACTATGAACATTTGCAAAAATGTCTCAATTAGAAATTTGCATTTTTTCTATTTATGTTATGCTGGGGATGTGTTTATAAGTAAAAATAAATAAAACTTGATATTTTTATTTGTGAAAAGGTATAAAAGAAGAGGAAATGACATATAAGTTAAGCAAGTAATGGGTTTGTAAAACTTCATTAGGCCTATTTTGTTCAAAAATTAAAAAAAATATAAATAGCCTAATAAAACAAAATTTATAAAATTAAGTTACTTTTTTAAATTAAAATTTGTTTATTTCTAATTTATAACAAGTTAACAGTATTAGGCAGTTTTCTATGTAAAAAACAAAAAACAGAAGTCATTTATCTATATTTATCACAAACTTATAAAAAATGTTCTATACCCTTGCAAAAATGCCTATTTCGCGCTGGCCATGGGTACACCATGCCTATGGCGCCGGCCATATTGGCGAGTACGCTCATTAGGCGCTGGCGCTCCAAAGGTTAGGTCTAGCTTAATTTCTTGATATTTCTTCTCTCAATTCATTCTCGGCAATCCCCAATGGCTCAGTTTATTATTATACTGGTTAATAATACACTTTTTATGATGACAGTGGTAGTAGATTCAATGGGGTAGCCACAATAAAGCTGAAAATGTTTACTTGCCATTGCCAGTTGTCTCGGAAGCTTGTTTTGCCAGTTGAACTGCCCTCTTCATCAAATCTATGCTACTTTCTCGGTCAAGTCCAAGGTACTTGTGAAATCCATCAACACTTGCTTGATATGTGTTAGTCAATATAACGTCACAGCCAGCTAAAAATTTCACACCACAAAAAGATTAATCTAATACCCTAAATATATATTTGATTGGATTTAAATCATTTCTTTTTCTACATTCAAAAATCAATATTTTATTTGTTCTACTAACCAGCCACATAGTCTGCATGGGTTTTCACAACAGCATCTGAATTGGTTTTCACAAACTCCGCACACCACAATGGTTTTTCAGCCAAAGCCGCATCGTCCACTCTCAAATGTTTCTTCAACTGAGTAGAGAACCCACCGTCAATAAGCACGACCATTACCATAGACCTATAATGCATGAATTATATCAGGATTTTTCAAAAGAATATAGGGTCAAAGTGTTGCTAGCCTAGTGGTTAGCATCTCGGACCTCGGTGTGAAAGGAACGGGCTCCATTCTCGGCACACCCACCATATCATATGGGTTGAGACCACTTTCAGTGACGAGTGAATTAGAGACAGCCTATAAGTTTCTGCAAAAAATTAAAAGCAACAGCAACTTTTAAATGTGCTGCTATTACAGTAGCGGCTCAGTAGTTGAAGGGCAATGACTGACAAGGTTTCAATGTCAGGAATAATAGCAAATAATTGCAGTTAGTTGAATAATAATAGGAGTGATTACCTCTTTCATGAGCGGTAGCAAGTGCGCATATGTTAGTTTCATCTCCCGATTCTTTGCCACTTGCCAATCCTGCTTAGTGCAGTAACGTATACAGTGTTGCGAGTAAATAATTACTGTAAGCAACTAACTTGGCAATTTCAGATATTAACTTAATAGAATAAATTAATATGGGTCCAATGCATGCTATATCAATAAGTTATAGAATTGGGCTTCACTTTAGTTTACCCCCCACATCCATTCGATTGAAATTTTTGATTATTGCTATGTTGATTATTTTCATTCGATTGTAAATATTAACAAAGTATTGGTTGTTATCAGCAGTTTTTAGATCACATAGTTCATAAATACACTATGTTTACTATGTTATGTTATTATGTTAAATCTTATCTTACTAATACTATAAATGTGAAAGTTTGTGTGTTTGTTTGTTTGTTTGTTTGAAGTTCAATCACGCATTAACTACTGGACGGATTGGGCTGAAATTTGGCATGATGATAGCTCACATTCCCGATTAACATATAGGCATATTCTTAACTAAAAAATCCTTTCGGGCTCCGCCCCAGTGGCTCTGTAGTTCCCCATGTTAACCTTATGAGTATTCATATTTAAAGGGAATTAAAGAATTTAGTCAGCTGTTGGTTCTTAAAAAGTTGGTTCTATGATATGCAAAAGCATTAAAAAGTTATAAGATTTACCAACAGGGTGCAGCACTATATTGTTTTTGCATTTATGAAACAGCTAATTTGAACGAAGCAGCAACAAAAAACTGTGATACGCAATGAGAACTAACTGTCAAAGTAGGATTGTTTACAGTTATGTTAATGTTTTTAATTTCATGAATAATTTGTGATATTTTGCGAATTTTTGATAATTTATTTTTCTCTATTGTTTAGGTGAAGTGGTAGAACATTATGGCTATGGTAGATGTGTAATACTATAGAATACTGTAAATTTAAAGAAGCAAATTTTATTAAACTGTGTCCTCCCTCATTGCAAACGCAAAGCTTGAGTGTAACTGCAATAAGTATTTTATACTTATATCCCAACCCCGTACGAAGGACGGGTTCTCTGCTAGTAGGTTATATTTTCAAATAAAAATTTTATCTTTAACAGAAGATAAACAATTATTTAATAAATTCAATTAAACTAAAAATCCAGAGATTAATAAATATATCAAACAATTTAACTAGAACAGGAGTAAAATTAGTACATTTTAACATTTTTAAACTTCTTCAGGATACAATGTTTATAGGCCCTACTGTTTTTATAAATGAAAGGAATGGATCTTCATCATTACATTTACATTACATTTACATTTACATTTGTTGTCATGAGAGCCGAAGCCCCCTGACTGCTTACCCGGTACCTATCCTTCAGGACATACCCGGGCCCCATGATGTAGGCCGAAGCTTACGCATCAACCTTTAGCACATCATGGGCGGATGACTTAAGGTCATCAGGCTCGCCGGCTGCCGAAGCAGACCCTTCGGAAAGAGGGTTGCCCCTCAATCCTAACCAGGGATTCCGGCTGCTTGTTTAAGCGTCACTCCACCTGGGTTCCACTAGGTCGGAACCTAGAGGTCCATAGTAGAGCGCCCCGACGCATTTAGTGCAAGCAACACTCGGGACCTATCTAATCCCTGACAGGCAGAACCCGCCATCAATAGCCAGGAGGAAGGGGACCATCAGCACGCTGACGGGGGGAACCCCAACCTCCCATTTACACCGCTGCCCGATCGAGGCCTTACCCATTGCTGGGAAACCAGAGATAACCAGAGCGATAGATCCCCAGATACCCCTGGCGGGCTCGGACCCAGCACCCGATCTACTTCGTTTGCCCGTCAGACCCAACATCACTGCCAGGCCATCAGGGTTTCCCAAAAGGAGGCAGGTATAGAAGTGGGACCCACCCGGATGAACCTATCCACCAGAGGTGGCGACACCCTTGACTCAATTGAGGTTCCGGGAAGAACCCCCCACACTCAAGATAACCATACCGTCCGTGCTCAGAGACAGGGATAGGTTTGCATAAGTACCTACAAACCGTTGCCCTCACACTGCGGAAAGTTACGTTGCCCTTGAGTGTCCCCGTGAGCTGCGGGTACTTGCCCGTTTTCACCTCCAGGAAAGGTTACTTCCAAAGTCGAGGATTTGCCCACTGAATGCTGGTCGCACACAACAAGCAGGCCGAAGCCCAAAGAACCACAGACACAGGTAGGTTAGAGATTATGATGTACTTCCATCTCTCCTAGAGCTAAACACCCCTCCATCCTGGATAAAGGAATGTCACTGGGACCCGATGCCCAGTCGACCATGTCTGTGGCCAACTTGAAAATGCCGATACCAACACGGAGCATTTACCTCCCCTCTGGGGGCTAGGTATTTCACCTCCCAGGACGAGGCTACTTCCAAAGTCGAGGATATGCCTCACAAAATGTCAGTCGAACACAACAGGTAGGACTCAGTCACAACCACAGTTACAGGTAGATGAGGAGAGGCGGAATTAACGGCGTCACTGAGAGCTAAACACCCCCCCCACCCTGAATGGAGGGAATGTCACTGGAGGCTCCCCCTAAGGGGCTGGCGCTTAGCAGTCGTCCATAACTGTGGTCTACCTGAAGTGCCGGGTCTGACACCGGGCAGTTACCTCCCCTCTGGGAGAGCTAGGGTCCGCGTGGTCGCCCAGGCCACGAACCCACGCAAGCGTGAGCCCCCTGCGGTTGGATCTTCATCAGATAACTTATCATCTCAACGATATAAGTATTCGGCAAAATGTTCTGCTAAACTGCGCCACGAAGATTTGACTGTTTACTGTATTGGCTGAAGTTACTGGATCAACGAAGTTCTTACTATGATTCACTGTAAAGTGGTTGTACCCATGAGTAGTTAACCCTTTGAGTGCCATGCAACGATATATCGTTTTGTACAACACATCTGAAAAATGCATTGCAACAATATATCGGGCCGGCGCTACTTTCGATCATGTGAGTTTTAATGGGCATATCGGTTGACTCGGCTGTTATTTTAAAACAACGATGATTTCAATCGATTTCTCATACGATCAAGGCACGATATATCGTTTCTTGACACTTTTGGGATGAAAATTTAAACTTTTACTGATTTGTATTCTTGCGCACTAAGCTTTGTCCCTATGGAAAGCCTGGCACTTTTCGGAAAGTACTAAAATAAATTTCTGGCACTCAAAGGGTTAAACTAAAGTAAGATTTTCAAATATCTGTAACTATTGTCGTTCCTGGTGCAACATCCTTTAAAATCAATGGAATTAGAGTGACGGCAACTCTTTTGTTCCCAGGACATAATTCTAACCGATATCGACCGCCTCGTCTTTCTCGTTTGTTAGTATCAATTCCAACATTAATTTCTACTAATACCCACACCTCGTTAATTAATCTCCCTCTATTATATTTTCTCTTTCCTATCTTAGCCTACTTTTATTGATCTCAGCTACCACACCTTCACCACCTAGCAACTCTTGCTCATTGTATGCCCGACCAATCCAAAAAAAACTTACTTCCCTACAAAACGACAACCAATCCGCGACTGTAGCACTACTAGTTTGGACAATCCTTGGGCTTGTTTCACAAATTGGAAAGACATAATTAGTGACATTAATACTAAAAAAATACATCACCGTCAATATGTTAATGAATCCGAAGTTTGCTCCAAATCTTTTTCTTAATGCATTTGAAACAGGTTTCGGTATTTATTAAAACATGTTGACAAATTTCACGGTAACCTAGTTCATTTTAAAATAATAACTTTTGTCAAATCCAACTTACTTCAATATAAACAATAAAAAAAATAGTAAACAATTAAAAAATAACAAAGTAAAATTGATAAAATAATGGATTGAACAATCAAATGAAATAACCGATATATCTATAGTTTTATTTGATTTGATAAATCGATAGTTTTAATAACAAATTTCAATAAAATGAATGTAAACTAAAGTGCAGCCTAGAATTATTCTATATTGTAATGTACTTTGGTATGGAATTAGACTTACATACTACTTCCTTTAGGCTATGAATTAGTATAGGGATGGGTTCAAGTTGGAATAATATGGAGGGTTGTATTATCAAGGTTCTGCAGTAATCTATTCAATAATAAAAATAGACTCTGGACGCCCGAAGATGACTTCATTAAATTCGAAACTAGTTGTGCCATTGTAACCACATTTTTGGATTACAAGAAGCAGATATTTACACAAATTTTTTATATTCAACCTAACTTAATCCGGAGGCTAACAACAACGATGATATTCAATAATCTTTACATAGGCAATGCCATTTCATTTAGTGCTGTAGATGTATTTGTCAATCAGACAAAGTAGCCTAGTAATCTATTTATATTTCCAATTGGCTTACAGTTGTAGGCCCATTTAAAAATATTAACATGTTTGAGGTTATGAAATTGAGCTGCCTCCTGGAGACCTATTGTCTTGTTGCACTGATTTAAATAGAAGAGAAGCTAAGATGTGTCTTATACAACCAATGCTATGTTCGAGGTCAATTTGAAAATTTATTCAATAACTTAGCCATAATTGAATCTGAACTGACAGGTCCAGTAGCATATAAGTCTAGATAGGTAAGTTAAACCAAACTCGCTGAAGAGTGAAGAACTACAGTACAGCAATACGGAACAGCCTACTTTAAAAATGTACTACTGACTTAGTAATTTTTAACTAGGCCTATTTTATATTTTAATATTTTATTTATTTTAAGTTAACCTTAAGCTAACCTAATAATCCAAACAAAGCTAGCTTTAGTGAGTTTATTACATAACGATAATTTTACGATGAACCTTACGTTTATTTCCCTCACACACAGAGACAAACTTTTTGTGGCGTAGGCCTAAGTTAATTTAAAATTACTTAATGCTACACTACACTAGAAACTTTAATTTATTTAATTGAATGATTTTCAAATTTGAAACAAAATCAGTGTTAGTGTTAATGTGTAAACATAAACAACTAACAAAAACAAAAACAGGACAGGGAAGGAAAAGAAACATTATTAAGAAAAGAATAAGAAGTAAGAATCTGGTCGGATTTCATAAAACCATTGACTCTATTGGATACTGAAGGTATTAATAGTCAAAGATAAAACCATAGATAAAACATACTCCCTTAGTAGATTTCCCATCCTTATGGAACAGCTGAAGCCAATTTTATTGTTAGTTTTGTAC